ATCTGGGTGATGCTTGAAGAAGGAGGTCGGGGTGGCAGGAGGCTGAAGCAAGTGGTCTGCTACAGAGCTGGGGAAGCGGCTGGGCAGTGGTGGCCTTTAATCCCAGCACTCGGGAAGCGGGAGCAGGTGGATCTCTGTGAGTTCAAGGCCAGCCTGGTCTACAGAGCCAGTTCCCGGACAGGTTCCAAAACAATACAGAGAAACCCTGTCTGGTGAAACCAATAAGAGACTGGAGAGGGGTTGGAGGAACTGAGGGAGAGGGGAAGATCTGCATTAGCCTACCTGCCTCACTGTCTGAAGTCCTTTGGTCATTGTTAAAATTGGAATGTGGGGGTGAAGGGCTGGTCACAGACATGGTTAATCCCAGCACTTGGGAGGAAGAGGCAGATGGATCTCTGTGAGTTCCAGGCCGGCTGGTCCTACAGAGAGAGAGAGAGAGTTCCAGGGACAGCCAGAGCTGCATAGAGAGACCTTGTCTCTAAAACTCTGAACTCCCAGGCTGAGTTTGGTACTGTATGATGACTGACCTGGGCTGTCTTTGAAGAACTCCTACTATGTCCGCCTCATTGAGTTCTTCTTCTTGGCTTGTGGAATGCCTCAGAGTAGAGTTTTCCAGTCTCCAGCCTGATGAGCAAAAGGGATTGGTTGTATGAGAAGATTCAGAATTTCTGCATTCAGCAGTCCAATGACACCTTTGTTTTTGTATGGTGTCTCAGTTCAGAGGATGCCCAAGCTCTGCCAGTCCAGTGCGTCTTCTCAGAGGAAAACCCCACAGGCCCTACTGGCTATGGGAAGGGTGGATTGCTTCCTTATGCTTCAGAGTTAGGGAAGAAACCCAGGAATCTGATGGTGGTTCGATTGGTCTTTCCTTTAGCCTAGGCTCCCACAGCTCCTGCGGCCTTTGGATTGCTGTCTCTGTGCCTTCGTAGAACAATGTGCAAATCAACTTGACTCTCCATTTCCTTTCTGCCAGCGAGAGACAGCTTTTTGCTCAGGGCAGCCATGTCAGTAACTGCATGGCTGCCTGCCATGCTGCCTGCCTCACGAGGCCTGTAGCTTTTAGCTTTTGTCTCCTTTGTTGCTCTCTCCATCCTTGCAGAGTTACAAATCGACTTTAAAGTCTTCTTATCAAAGTTTTAATAGGGCTCTGGGAGGGAGTGAAATTAGAGGTATGAATTCAGTCACCATCTTCACCAATATCTTTGTAAAAATATAATTTTGGGGACTAGCCCTACTTGGTCATGGAGGATTGCAATGTGAATGTTCTGGGATATATTTATTTCTGTCTTTGCACTTAGAAGTCTTTAAGGGAACACGATTAGCAAGAAATGAGGCTTTCTATGAGGGAAGTTTAAAGAAAATGTCCCCAGTGGGACAACTGTTATCAAGCATCTAAAAAAAAAAAAAAAAAAAAAGAAAAGACAGAATCCTAGTATAGGCAGCCCCTAGTCGACTGAGGGAGTGGGGAACAGAGTAGGGACACATAGGGCATGTCTTTCCTGGTGTTTTGTTTGGGGGCATCACTTGCTACTGTGAAAATGTGTTTGGAGGCCTGATTCGGTCTTGTATCAGTTGATGGGGTAAGTTCTGTGATCAGGATATGAGTCTCAGATGCTTTTCTGAAATGCAACACATGGCTCCCTCCCTCACCCCTCCTGGGGCCAAATTACTATCTAGCTCTGCTTCCTGGGGCAGGACTAGATAATCTGTTTATTGAGGTTGGTTCTCAGGTAGCTTGGGCTAGCCTCAAAAATCCTTATGTAGCCAATCAAGTCTGGCCTTGAACTTGGATCGTCTTCCCTTTACCTCCTAAGGGCAGGGTAACAGAAAGGCCTTTATCATGCCTAGCAGAAAGGGGAATTCTTTTGTGGTTTTGTCTGTCTGTCTGATTGGTTAGTTGGTTTGTTGGTTGGTTTGGTTTTTTTGAGAGATTCTCAATCTGTAGATATGACTGATCTCAAACTTTCAATCTTTCTGCCTCCCAAGTGATGGAATAACAGGCATTTGCTCTCAGGTCTGTCTGCCTGTTTCTCTCTTTCACTGTGTGTGTGTGTGTGTGTGTGTGTGTGTGTGTGTGTGTGTGTTGTCTGGATTGGTCTTGAACTTGGAGTCCTCCTTCTTTCACCCTCTTGAGAAGCTAGAATCACTTACTGTCCATGCAAATTCTCCTTGCTGCCGAGGTAATTCCTTAAACACCTCACCCAGCCTACCTTCTAAAGCAGTGAGGAGCAAAAGAAAGGAGGTTTGGGGGTTATACTCAAGGTTGAAACCCCATAATATTTTTTTTTTCCCTCGGTGGCTTGTGATTCCTGATAAGGGGAGAGACTTAGCAGTCTGCAGTTCTCGGGGAAGCTTTGCATAGTGCGTGCAGTCTAGGCTGGCCTTGAACTTCTAATCTTCTGCCTCTACCTCCAAAAGGGTAGATTCACAGGCACGTGCTCAGTTTCCTGACACTATGAAATACAGCACCCTGGAGGAAGGAAAACATGAGGGGATTTAGAGACTCCAGACAAATAAACGAGCCACAACCGTTTAGTCAGTCAGTGCCTCAGTCCTTAGGCAGTGCAGCAGCCGTAGTAACTGCTCCATGTTGTTGGTCCCCACGCTGAGCTAGCCTTGGCTCGGCTTCTGCATTCCTGTGAGGCTGGGTGCTTTCTTTGATTTTACCTTCTCCTCTCATGTTTTAGCGGATCCACCTCGCTCAGCCACTTGTCTCACTATTCTTTCTCACAGACATTTCTGAAGCTGAGGATTTTGGAGAGGTTTTAGTTTATAAAAGAGATGTTATGAATGGGAATTGACATTTGGCAGTTGGTCTGCAAAGCGTAGGAGGCCCTCCTCGGCGGTTGTATAATGTTTGCAAACCACCAGGTGGTGGAGAAGACAAGCACAGAGCTGAGCAATCTTGAGCAATTTGGTAATTCCTGGGACTCACTTTAGCTGTCTCTAAAATGGGAACATAGTGATGCGACGCAGTGTCTTCACTCATCTTTAAGGCTTAACAGTGGAATGGATCGCCTGGGATGCTATCCTACGCAAAGCTACCTTTGCATGTGTGCATGCACACGTATGCATGTGTGTGTGTGTGTGTGTGTGTGTGTGTAAGAGTGCCCGCGGGCGCGCCCAGTGCCCTCACTGGAGGGTGTTTCCTGGGAATGGCGTGCTTGTGGGTGTGTGCTCTGGGCGGCCCTCGGAGCGTGTGGTTGCCAGCGCCAGGCTGAGAACGAGGCGACGGCTCTCCAGCCGCTGATTGGCAGCGCTGGGTGAATGAGTGCGCGCGTGGGGCCGGGGCAGAAGGCGGCTGTGGCTCCGCGCTGCTGTGCGCGCCCGCCTGCCGACCCGGGTAGGGGCGGACCGCCGGCGGGCGACGGGCGTCAGGCGAGCTGGGAGGAGGGAGAGGAGGGCCGGTGCGGGAGGCGGCGGGGAGGGCTGTGAGAGCCCGGCTGCCGCGGGGCCCCGGCGCGGGTGCTGGGCCGGGGAGCCGGGCTCACAGCCAGGAGGCGGCGCCGCGAGGAGGGAGCGGAGTGCGAGCGCGAGCGGAGCCCGGCCGCCCTCCGCCTGCGGAGAGCGCTGCGGGTCGTAGACCCGGCTGGGGACAGACCCGGAGCTTCGGGTCGGCTAAGCTGCGATCGCCCGGCAAGCAGAGGGGAGTCGGGGGTTCGGAGCTTGAGTCCCCGCATCGGGCGCAGCGGAGATCAGGCTAGACTTACAAAGCCTTGCCCAGCTGGGGCCCGCTGAGACAGGACGCCCCTTCTCTTGGGAGCTGGCCCCCCAGGACCCGCCGGAGGGAGAGGAGCAGGTCCGTCAGTCCAGGCTGGGGGACCGGAGTGTGATGTGCGCACGCGCGTGTGCATGTGTGCCTGCAAGGGGTGGGTGTGTAAGGGGCGTGGGGGATGATGGAGATGATGGTGTGCGGTGCGTCTGTACTGTGTGTTAGGGTTGTTTGTGCTTCTGACTGCAGGAAGAGAGAGAGAGAGAGAGAGAGACAGAGAGAGAGAGAGAGAGAGAGAGAGAGAGAGAGAGGGAGGGAGGGAGGGAGGGGGAACTAGAATCTACGTAGGAGGGAGAGGGGCTCAGCAGGGGGAGTGTGTGTGTGTAGGAGTGTGTGAAGGGTGCGTGGGTGAGTGTGTCACGGGTGGTAGGTGCGGCTGTGTGTGATGTAAAGGTACTGGGTGCACGTGTGTCCCCGGTTCAGCCTCCCTTCCCCCACCAGATGTGTTCTGGGGAGGGGGTGTAGCTTCCTGCAGCTGCCCCTTGCCCAGCTTGTCTGCCTGACCTCCTCTCTCGGGGAGCCAGAAGGCGTTAACTCCCCCCCACACACACACACTCCTAGGGTCAAGGGAGAGAGTAGCCCCAGGCCAAGCACCCAGAAAGAGGGGAAAGGCTCCGGAGAGCCTGGGCCAGGTCAGGGACCTTGCTTGTGTAGCACAGCCTGGGTAGCCTTCCAGCTCAGATCACCCAGGCTTGTGTTCTACTCTTCCTAAGGGCCTCGTGCTCCAGTGGATTCCCTCGCCCGGGGCTGGAGGTGGGGGATTCAACCCGGAGGGTTTGCTTTTTTGCCGCTGTATTGCTTGGAACACAGTGGGCCTCTGTGGATATTTGAGGAAGGAAGCTGCTGGAGGGGGTGGGGGGTGGGGGGACCTGCATCTGGGAGGCCAAGTCGATTCTCTCTGCTCTGGTTAAGGATGAGGGTGTTACTTGTAGTCAGACCTCAGTTCCCCTTGTGGGAGGGTTGGGTGCGCGTGTGGGGGGTGTGGATGCAGGAAAGAGCGAGCCTGCAGGTAGCAGAAGCGGCTGGCAAGAAGAGCTGTCATGACTCTCTCGGGCAGAACATTTTGCCCCTTGCTCCTACACCTGCTTCTCTGGGACTAGCGCTTCTGCCCAGGGTATCTGACCCTGGGAAAGAGAAGAGGGTGGTAGAAGCCCGGACTCACAGGACTACTCCTCCCTCTAGGGCCCTTGAGCTCATCAGGTGCGGAAGAAGTGGACCTCCGGCCCAGCCAGGCTGCTGAGCCAGGTGGGGCCATGGCAGGCCTAGGCTGCCTGGAGCTGGGACTGTTCTGCTGGGTTCTGCTTGCTGTCCCTGTGGGTCCCCAGCCTGCTTCCTCTGCGCCAGGTGCCCCTATCACCACTCTGACCCCACCACCTCAGAGCGAGGCCTCTATGCTGTCTCTCAACCTGGGACTAAACTTCAAATTCCATCTTCGGGGACCTGCTGCTGTCTGGGGGAGCCCTGTCACAGAGACCCACCCTCTCTCTCCTGGGCTAGGCCAGGAGTCCGGCAAAGAGGTGGAAAGGGATCTCAGGGCTGATCCTCTTTGGGAACTGCTGGTGGGTTCCCCTGGGAACTACATCTCAGAATGGGGCTCTGCTGATGGCAGCTCTACGCCCTGGGCCTCCTCCCTGCCTCCTGAGTCCACACCCCCCCTCTCAGGGCCCGCTGCTCCGTCTCAGCCTAGGGTGGGCACTGTGACCTGGGCCACTGCTCTGACAGCCACAGCGCCTCCAACCAGTGCTCCCAGGCTTCATCAGAGTGAGCTGGAGCTGAAATTTGGTGTGGCATTGAGAGCGGGGGCAGCTCCCACCCTTGGTCATCGCGCGCTGCCCCTGCTGCCCAGCCTGCGGGCCAGCCTGGCAGAGATCGCTGGGCGCCTGGGACCCTTTGGTAAGTAGCCATCCTATTTGAGGAGAATCCCTACTGGACACCAGTTGATAAACATCCACTGTCCATTAGTAGAGAGGAGGCAGCTTCAGCCCAGGCTCCTTTTGCAGGGTTCTTTGGAACTACTCTGTCCCCACTCCGGAACTTCTCAGGCCAGAGCTCCCCAGGCACAACCGCACATCCAAGCTCTGCTTTGGGAGTGTCAGATTCTCCAGGTGAGAATTTTGCTACTGTTATGAATTGTGATGTAAATATCTGTGTTTTTCGATGGTCTTGGGCGATCCTTGCGGAAGGGTCCATCAAAAACCCAAAGGAGTCGAGACCCACAGGTTGAGAGCCACTACTCTCGGACAAGGGCTGGTGCTCCCAGGGGAAGCAGTCTCTTTGCTATATTGACTCTGATTTGGTGACTGTAGTTTAATTCATGGTGCACATGTGGCTACAGTTTGTGGGGCAGTGACCTCCTCGGGACAAGCTTCGGGGAGGATAGGATGGTAGGATGGCATTTGAGCCACATATGTTCCTATCACAGGGCTCTTTGGAACCATTCCGTCCCTACCTCCACCTCTCCTGGAGAGAAAGTTCTCAAGCTCAAGCCTGTTGGACTCCGTGGCTTCCCCAAGCTCTGCCTCAATCAAGACAACACCAACACAACATGGTAAGCATACATGTGATTTGAAATAGACGCGCTATATGACTTGGGATCTTTCTATGTCATTGTCTTCATAGCCCTATCACCTTTCACGTCACCATCACTTAGGAGAAATTATACTTTAATGATCTAACAAGTATTGCCCGGGAAAGCGCCACATGGCGCTAGGTAAGGGTTCTCTGAGATATTTGCTACCATAAGCAGAGTAGGATAGAAAGAGCTAAGAGCTAGGCCAGGGCCAACTTGTGAAAGAGGTTACTTCATGATTTCTACAGCGTTTCCACTCACCCCACCCGAGTCGCTTGGACCTCCTTCCTACCCACATTCCACCCAGCCTTGGGGTTTTCTCCTCTGCTGTTTGATCTGCCATGACATGCTGTCAGACCTGGGCAAGGCTGAGCCCATCACAGAGAAAGCATTAAAGAGGAGAACATGAACAGACAGACAGATGCCATCTTTGTTCAGGGAGCCTTTCAGAACATGCACCTCAACAGGTGGATGGTGCAGAGGGAACAATTGACCTCTTTGACCTCTTCTCGCTTATGTGGGGTCTGACAATGATGCACTTTTTTCTTTTCAGAAACCCTAATGTCTTAAGATTGTGTAAGCGCTTGCTGGACCCCAAGAAACTCACTGAACAGTAGCTTCTTAACCTTGCTTCGCTTCTTACTTGCACTGCACCCCGAATGCACATCCAGACTCAGCCTTGTAGACACCCTTGCCTCGGCCCCACCCGGTGATGCGATAATAGAGTTCCTAGGGCAGAGGGCACAGGTGCCCCAAGAGAGGTTTTGCTAAATGAAGCCATATTCACCATGCGGAGGGACTCCCAGCCCAACTTTGCTCTACTAAAGACTTCCTGTGTCTGTGAAGCATCTAAGCCACCCTGTACTAAGCTCAGCCATGGACACTCTGGCTTTTTCCAGCCTCAGGCCTGACAGGGCACTGTATTTTATGGCTTTCTTCGGGCATCATCATAGTGGCCCCTCTGTGGTATATAAGGAATGGCCACTGCCCTGTCCAGTCAGTGCGCAGCAGTGACAGGATCTGCTGTGGGTGGGGGGCAGTTCTGTGCCTCAGGGGATAGATGCTGGCTGGCATTCTGTCAGCCTGGGTGACAGTGCTGGCCAGGCAGGTTTAATGAGTCTGGACAGTATCAGAGGCAGCCCAGCCTCACAACCCCCTCTCCACCCCCACCCCCCCCCCCGCCTCACTGGTGGTTGCAGGAACCCAGACTCTTCTTGCTGTTTCTCTTACATAAATCCAGAAGCCTGGGACAATCCTGGAGAGAGAGAGGGAGAGAGAGATGGAGAGGGAGAGGGAGGTGGAGAGAGAGAGGGAGAGGGAGGTGGGGAGAGAGAGAGAGATCACGTTTGTAACAAATACATTTTTTTGGTTTGTTTGTTTTAAGATAGGGTCTCATGTAGCCCAGGCAGGCCTCAAGCTGGCTTCATAGCTGAAACTTCCTCCTGCCTCTACCTCATAAGTGCTGGTGTTTCAGGTGTGTCCTACCATACCAAGCATCCTAGGATCTTTCTAACTGAGTGTCATTTACATTGTGCCACAACATAGCTTGTGTTCAACCCACTTACACATCGACAGTTCTTGGGTATGGGTTCTACCATACCCAAGGATTTCAAGCCCATTGGTAAGTCCTCAATGCTCTCTCTCTGTTCCCTGACCGACCATACTGGCAGGCCTGGGCTATGAATGGCCAATACCTTGGCCATCTAGTTGTTAAATATTTCCAGTGCCACTGTTACATGCTGGAGTTGGGGGTAGGGAGAAGGATGTAGCCAAACCATTAAGTGGGCTGCAGCTTCCAGCATTCCGCGTTGATTCCTTGGCCCTTTGATCTTGGCGGCTGGTGGATAATCAGACCTGGCTTTTCCTGGACCTAGCTTATCCTTTCCCACCCCCCTCCCGCCAGCCCTGTCTCACCAATTACTCATGTTGACATCCCATCTTTTCTTTTCTCTCACCCCTGAGGTCAAGGGGTCAGGAGAACAGGGTAGAACTTCCCTGAAGTGGTGGCCTGCTCAGGATTCATCTCCTGGGCAGATGGGGAATATGGGACCGCTGTCTTTTAGGGGAAACTCTAGGTGGTTTACTTCTGAAGAAGTTACACATGGAGAGATGAGATGCGGCCTTCACAGGCAGCAGCTAGGCACTCTCTCCTCCCTGCCTCCATCCACGCTTGGCCCAGTGGGGCAAACTCTGGTCCTCAGGAACACTGTTCCGGGCTGAGAAGTCCGTCTCTGAGACTTGAGGTGTCCCTTACGCTTTGCTCACTTTTGGGCTGGATTTTAGAAATGTTGATATTTGCTCTATCAGCCATTGTACTTGGGGACAGAGATGAGAAGTAGGGTTTCTTATGGCCCATAAGTGAGGAGTGAATGTGGTCTCTGGGAGCACTTGTCTGTGTGGCCAAATGAAACCAAGGTGATCCAGTAACTTTGTAGCAGTAGGTTAGAGCAGGGCTTCAAAAGGGCTTGGAAAAGGAGGACAAGGGTATATTAGTTTGACACAAGGCTGGTGCCTCTCCTGACCAGCAGACTACCTGTTTCCAATTGAATAGGTGTTGGGGAGAGTTTAGGTCCATGACCTAGTGTCCTTCAGACAACTCAAACTGAGGTAGAAGGTTGATGTTCATCACTGGACTTCTTGTCTTTCTAAACAAGTTTAGGGTGTGCTAAGGGCTTTCCACACAGATCATAGCCTTAAGTAGGTAAACCAAGAACTAACCTATGGAGCTGGAGACACAACTTGGTGGTAGAAAAAACATACTGCTCTCGTAAAGGACCTAGGTTGGTTCCCAGCACCTACACTGGATAGCTTACAACTGTCCATCACTCTAGCTCTAACATCCTCTTCTTGCTTTTTTGGGCATCTGTACTCACCTATAAATACTCATCCCAAACACACACAATTACACATAAAATAGATCTCTAGAAAAGAACTAATTTGAAGCCAGAACTGGTGATTGATCAGCGGTGAGCATTAACTAGTCATGAAACTGGCCAGAATTATACATTGAATGATCTTTTTTTCCATATCAGGCACATAAAATCTCATTCATCTTCACAACTATTCTGTGTAATAGGTGTTCTTACCCAGTTCGGATTTGAGGCATGGAATGGAATGGGGACCAGAGTGCATGCTTCCTCTTGTAGCTGGCAGGGAGCTGTGTGTGTGTGTTTAATTTTCTGCTTGCTACTTCCATGCCTTTCCTAGTTGTCCAATTCTTCTTCCCTTCTCTCTCTCTCTCTGTCTCTCTCTGTCTCTCTCTCTCCTCTCTCTCTCTCTCTCTCTCTCTCTCTCTCTCTCTCTCTCGCTGCCCGAGACTACTCCTTTTTCTTCTGTTAGGTGTTTGAAGTTCCCAGCAAGAGGGAGAACTGCCTGGGGTGTTTCCTCTCTCATCCAGCTGGGGCCTGGCTGGGACAAGAGCATAGCCATCAGAAGTCCCTTACTCGCCAGCACACACCTGTCTCCTGTCCCCCCCACCCCCTGGCTGGCTCTGTCCATCACTGTCACCTTTTCTCCCTCTGTTTTTGCCACAGCTTACTGCTGAATCTTCAGGGGGCAGAGGTAGATCGACTTCTAGCACCCCTCCCCTTCTGTTTGGCTATGGGATAATCTCTGAGTCTTACTTTTTTTTTGAGTCCCTCTTGCTCCAGATTCTGCTCTCCTGGAGCAGAACCAAGGGTCTCAATCCTTTCCACTCTTCACTGACTTCACTTCCCCCAAGGGATGGGGGAGTTGTTGGGGGCAGAGAATGAGGCTAGAGCCTGCGTTAGCAGACCCCCGGCACACTCGAGGGGGTTCACTTATTTAGATAGTATGCCACCCCACTATGACCTCCCTGATTGTTTCTTTTGGGAAGTTCAAGGCTGCCCTCTGAGACCCGGGGAGTCCATCCCAGTTCTATCTTGTATAAAATGGGAGTGGGGTAAAGAGACGCACATGGATGTCACTCTGTGGTAGCGCATGGGGTCAAGGGAGACAGTATTTAGTGTTAGCTTGGCATAATAGCTTATACTATAGCCCTAGCACCTAGGTAGTGGAGGCAAAATGTTGTGAGTTAAGAGGGCAGCCTGGTCTACAAATTGGGACACCATCTCATAAACATAACAAAACAAACAACAAGAAGTCCTAGACTAATGTTTTTGTAGCTGAGTCAGGATGGGTGGGGGTCCCTGCCATTCACTGGCTAAGCGTTGGGGTGTAGCCTGTAGGAAGGGCACTTAACAAGAAGTTGTGTTCTCCTTAGAGTACTAGGGAAGGGGAATCTCACTTCTTTTCCTGTTCTTCCTGTGCATGCATGTGTTCATGCATGTTCTCTGAATAGGGACAGGAGAGTGTTGAAAAGGGGCAGGGAAAGACTATTCTAGTCCTGGATGTGGTTAGGAGCCAGGTGTACGTGTGTGCGTGCGTGTGTGTGTGTGCGTGCGTGCGTGCGTGCGTGCGTGTGTGTGTGTTGGGGGAAGAGAAGCATATTGGGACTGTGGTATTGTGGGAAAGGGATGCAGATTGGTGCTCAGATCTGGGTCCTGGTAGTACGACTATCTGTGACCTTGGGGAGGTCCTTTTGCGGAATCTCAACTTCTTCTTTGGTAAATAAGAGGATTCATTTGTACAGTGAAAACTACCCAGTGCCTCCCACATGCCACGAATCATTTAAACGTGGAGATTCATATGTGTGCAAAGGAAACGAAAATTTTGTTCTCATAAAACTTGTTTTCTAGTGTGGGGATTGGTTTGGAGGGGGCAGCCACACCGTTCCTTCCAGTTACAAAGTTCAGGAACTCCTTAAGAAAACCCCTCCCCCAACCCAGTAAAATCAAGGAGCGATGAGGGGCGGGGGGGCGGGGGGATGAACCACTGTGGATAAATGGGAGGAGAGAGGTCTCTGAAAGCTTCAGCCTGGAGGGTGGGGCTCTGGAAGGAGAAGGGGAGAGATGAAAAACAGGCTCCTCGTAGATGCGCTCAGATTTCTTGCTGAGGGCTGGGAGTGTATGTGGCTGGGGCGGCGTTGGGGGGACTGACTGCTAATGGCTTCAGCCAAATGTTTTCTGTCCACAGAGCCCTCTGTCTCCACTTCTGGTCCATACGAACCCTTTCCTGCCAGTTTCGGGAATCCTTCAGTACAGCCTGAATGTGAGCCAGATTCTTGTAGTGAGTCAGAGTTGCCCGATGACCTGGGGCAGCCTCCTGCCTCCCCACTGCCTCTCTTCTTCTTGACCCTGGAGGCCGACTGGGCAGAGGCCAAGGCTCGCTGGGGCCTGGCCTGGGAAGCCCACGTCTATGGGGCAGGAGCCCTTTTTGGCCTGGTGGCCCTGCTGGCTCTGTTGGCTCTGGCCCTCTTGCCCTGGCGTTGCCCTCCGGGCGCCCCCTGCCTGGCGTTGCTGGATCTGCTGCTGCTCTCGGCGGGGACCACTCGGGCCTTCCCGCTCTTCTACGACGCCTACGGGCACGGCGACCGGCTGCCGACGCTCGCCTGGCTGCTGCTGCAGGACCTTCCGCAGCCCTGCCTAGCTGCAGGCCTGGGGCTGGCTTGCCTGCTGCTGTCCCGGCCGCGCTCACCGCGGTGCCCCGCCGGCTTGGCTGCACTGCTGCTCCTGGCGCTGGGGCTGGCGGCCGCGGCCACCCTGGGGAGCGCAGTGCACCGGCCCCTGCGGCCGCTGCGGCTCGCCTCCCGCGGCCTTCACGCCTTCCTCGCGGCCTTCCTGTCGGCGCTCCTGCTGGCGCTCTCTTGCTGGGGCGGCCCGCGGCGGCGAGCCGGAGCACCCCTGGGAGGATCTGGCTTCAAGGGCGCCACGCCTGTCCCGCAAGTGCGCAGCCCCTTCGCCCCGCGCGAGTCCTGGAGGCGCGCGGCGCGCACAGCCCCGGTGGCCGGCACCTTTGGGCTGCTGAGCGGAGCCCTGCAGGGCTATGAGGTGCTTCACGCCCTGGGCTACGGCGCTCAAGTCGGCTTGGAGGGGCCCTGGCCCTGGTGGGCCTTCCAGCTAGGGCTGCGCCTGGGCGAGGTGGGTGTCGCGCTCCCCTTGGCGCTGCTGGGTCTCTACCCCGCGCTCTGCAGCCCACGTGTGCCGAGGCGCTGCTGGGCCAAGCTCTTCCGATTGTCGCCGGGACATGCTGCCCCGCTGCTGCCAGGAGGCTGGGTCCCTGGAACCCGGGACAAGGAGCCCCTGGGTGGCGCGATTGCGCGTGGGGACGCGGAGCTGCTGCAGCTGTGTGCTCTAGCTGGCCCGGGCCCCGACCTCCTACTCCAGGGTGGCGGCTGCCGGGGCTTCGAAGGTGCTGGAGGCAAACCTACGCGATCCACAGCCTCCTCCCCTAGCAGTGATTGCACGGTGGACTTCCGCCCGCCTTCACCCATCAACCTGCGGCGCAGCATCGAGGAGGCCCTCTGCAGTGAGGCGCTGCTGGCTCCTGGCCTTTTCCAGGGCTCTGCCATTGGGGAAGTCCTTCCCGGGCTCGGCCTCTGCCGCACGGTCTCACTGGGGAACAAGGCAGGGGCGGGACCCAGTGAGAGATCGGACAAGGTCCCCGGATCCCCAGCGCCTCCCGAGCTCCCTTCTCCTGGGGCCTGGCCCGCAGGTAGCAGCGCCTCATCTGGCTCTCTGTGTGGACTCTCACGGGACAGCTCGTCCATGCTTCTGTGTTCCAGTCCCGACAGGCCCCCGCGCTGTCCGCTAGTCTGCGTCCTCAGTCCCCCGCGGCCCTCAGAAAGCAGCCCCAGCCTCCCGGCCTCAGGATCCTACCAGGCCCTATCCCCACCCTCCCGCGACTCCCCTGAACATTCTTCTGAGCTGCAGGCTGAGGAGGCATTGCTACAAGAGCAATTCCTGGATGCCTGCCGACAGATTGACGAGCTGAGCGTGGGCAGCGACACCATAGACCTGTGAAGAGGCGGCCATCTCACAGCCAAACCGTGTGTCCCTTTCTGGCTTCTCATCTGCCCAAGACCTGCACACTGTAATCATTCCCCAATTCTGCCTGGCTCAGATACCTCTTTTTGATTCCTCCTCATCCAGGGGCCCCTGGGTGGGTGGGTCAGCAACCAGGCGCTGTGGATTGGGAATCAGTGCCAACTTCTCTGGAGCCGTGGGTGCTGATGCCCCCAGCTGCAATTTTAGGCTGGCAGGGTCTCGCTTTCCTTGGCCTTCACCAGCAATAAGCTCCAAGGTGCTCCGCTCCTGACCACCCCACCCTTACCCTGGTGCTGAGTGAGACGGCTGACTCCAGAAGACCTAGGGCCCTGGCTGGGTTCCATTTCCTTCATGGAACCATTCCCTGAAGATGGCTCTGTGGCCCATCCAAGAGACCTTACAGCAGCTGGGTGGGAAATGGGCGTTTTCAAAGTCAACGTTCCAATAAAATATTTTCTGAGGACAATGTTCCGACCTTCTTGGAAAAGCTTAAAGGGGGATACAACTTGAGCAGCTCCACCAGAAGAGGCAGCCGAGTGGGTCTGCCTCAGGCTCCCGGGGACCTTCACACCAAAGTGAGGAGTTCTGAGAGCAGCCCTGGAAGCTGCCCATCTGACTGCCTGGCAAGTGTCTTTTCCTAGAGGGGACACAGTCCTGAGAGGTAGGGGGTAGGACACTTTAGCCCTTGGTGAAATGCCTTTGCTCTCAGAGCCTGGCATCAGGTCTTGGGAGACAGCTTCCTAGGAGCTGGTTAATAACGAAGATCTTTATGGAAAAATGGACACATGCTAAAGAGACCAGTGGCCTCGGGTCGGGCTATTTATCCAACAACCTGCCTGCCAACTTCCCATAAGAATTTACAAAGAGGAAACTGCCTCTTCTCATCAACAGGGCTCCTTCGAACTGGGCTCACAAGGACCCCAGCCCCCTTCCCCACAGAGCTCTCATCTCAGGCCCTTCATGGAGAAAGTCTGTCTCTACTGCCCACCTCCTGCTATAGCCCCAGCTTAGTTGTCAAAGTAGTGATCACAACAGAGACCCATGAGTACATCCAGCCACCAGAAGGGAGGATCCTCCCCTCCCCTGGAGTATTCAGCCTCCAGTTGTATATACTCTGCAGTTGTCATTTGGCTAAAATGTAATAATGGTCCACGGTGATACAAAAGCAGGGTCTTGGATCAGGTCTGAAAATGAAAAGCTGGAAGTGTTTGGCAGATGTTCTCTGCACATCACGGAGAGACCTGCAGAGGTAGACACATCAGGTTCAAAGAGGAAAAGGCTAGGAATCTTAGTGATCTACGCAAATGTACCCTTGTGTGTGTGTGTGTGTGTGTGCGCACACACACACACACACGCACGCACGCACGCGCACACACACACACACCCTAAACTTGGATCATCAGCTAATGGGGATTGGAGAAAGGAGGCAAGGAGCCAAAAGAGAAACAGGAAGAGAGGTAATGAGGGGCCGAGGCCTTTGTTCTCTGCAGATGAAGATTTGTGTTGATTGAGGAGTATATCAGGGCCTCAGGCCTCAGAGGGAGGGAGGAAGACAGGGGCTTCTGAGGGAGAATAGAGTCCTGGTGGAGAAGAGAAATGGGAGGCAGTGGTGCAGGTGAGGCTGAGGGATGGACCCGGAGTGGTCCTGACTGTGCCTCCTCCATCACCTGGCTTAGCGTGGCTCAGACATTCTTGCCGCATCCTCACTCTGGGCTGAGGCCCAGGGAACTGCCAGCTTCCTAATTACAGGCATTTCTCACTGGTGTCATAGTGTCTGCAGTGGGCTCAGCATCGGCACTGCATTGTCTCATGCAAGGAATGCTTGCTGCTCTGGGAAACTTGTCTTTCTTACCCCATTTTCCCTTCCAGTTTCTGCTCATCTGCAACTGCTTGCTCCCAGCTCCCGTCACCTCTTCCTCTTCCTCACACTCATCCTCTCCAGCTGCTCTCTCTTGCGCATTCTTCTCACCAAACCCGACTGGCGTCCTGTACTCCCCTCCCCTGAGCTCAGCAGCCCAAATCTAGAGCTTCCTCATCCAGTCTGTCTCTGTTTATCTCTCACAGACTGTTTTCTGTCTGAAAGCTCTGAATGCAGCTGATGAGAAAGGAGGCCAAAGGAATGTTTCTCTTTACTCACCGGATCCAACACTTGGCTGATTTTCCTTCATAAGAATCACTTCTAGGGTTGGAGAGATGGCTCAGCAATTGAGAGAAATTTCTTTTATTCCAGAGGACCTGAGTTCAGTTCCCAGCACTCACTCTGGGCTGCTCTAGGGATCTGATGCTCTCATCTGTCCATCATGGGCACCTCTCCACCATACACATCGTGCAACACACCCCTGCACTCACATGAATAAAAATAAAAATAAATCCTAAAAAGATTACCCCTAGCCCTTTCCCTTATAAAGAAGCCAAGATTTTGGTTAGCCCCACCCTTTTATCTTGGGCATTATCTCTTACCCAAAGCAGGCTTCTCAGGAAGAATAAAGGTTGACCCTAATACATACATCCTGCATTTCCAACTCTTAGTACTGGGAGAGATTGAGAGACAAGCTTTCGCTTATTCATAAATTCATCCACTCTATTAAAAATATTTATCCAATGCTCATAATGTCAGGTGACGAGGATAAAAGATCAAACAAGGGCACAAGACAGGACTACGTGATACTTTAGGTCTTGTGGAGGAAAGGCAGGTACTAGTTACAGAGTCAGTAACAACACGAGCAATTATTACAGTTGTGAGAAGTGGGAGGAATAAGAACTATTTAAGAACGCTTACATTAGAGAAGGTTTGGCTTAGGGGAGACCAAGGAGTGGAGCCAGAGGGATGGGGCCTGGCTTCCTTCCTTTCCAGGCTTCACCACATTGATGGATGAGGGAGAGACCAGCAGTTTATTTCCCTTGGAAGCCACCTTGCAGGGTCCCGTGACTCCTGCTATTTAATAAAGAACACTGCATGTGTCCTGAGTAGATGGATGAACAAATATTCTTGACTGAAGAACCGTGTGCCCTCGCTGATGTGAGTGAATAGAAGGGGATGGGACAGGAAACAGATGGGGATCCACATCTGAATAAAGGGGAAGATAAAAGGGTCAGTTTTACTGTGTATTCATTCACCTAGGGACATAGAACCCTGCACTATGGATATTTGCTGCCCCCTGGTGGATGTAGGGAGGTTAGTCTTTGTTCTTTAAGGAAAAAAAAATGTATTTAGGGTATTTAAAACATTTTTTTGTGAGGGTTACAAATGGATATTAAACTCCCCCATATCTACTACAGCTATGACTAGGCTCCCAAGACTTACAATTTAGTATTTGAGGATGTAATTTTGATTTTTAAGGTGGTAGTGTGATAAGGGAAAAGAATATGGAATCCTAAATCAATTTTATTCTTTTTACCCATTTTACTTTTTATGCTGGATAGGACTAACTTAGTGGTAGCCTTGACAATCTGTTTTTGTATCTCCATGCCTTTTTTTTTTACCCTGACTTATCTATTTAAATATAGCTGTGGTATGGGTTTTTTCCAAAAGCACATATTATTTATTCGAAGCTAGCTAGAGCGTCATACATTTCACGCTTAGCACCCCTCCCCTCCATCACTACCAATAAGTCATGCATCCATCTATCCAAAAATACCCTGAAAGTGGATGGCTCTCGGAAATTTTCACTGTATCTTCTCTCCTTTGTGGTGTTTTCTACCTACCATGTGGCTGTAATGCAAAAAAGTAACGTTTAAAAAAAGTGCCCCAGGGACTTTTTGCAGCCAGGCATTTTGCAAGTGCAGCAGTCTTCCATGTAGGACAGACAGTGACCCCACTGGGTGTCAAACACTGTGGTTAGCTCAGAGTCGGTCTGATGAATACACACGAAAGAAGATGTTCTTTCTCTGGGCAGCAGTGTGTTCTAGATCTGTGCATATAGTTGGGTGTTAGGTTTGCCTTGGGTGTGTTGTGATGTGATCTTGTACACATTTTTTTTTTTTTTTTGTAAGAGTGGGGAAAAAAAAATCTGTCTTTGGCTCCAGACTATTTTATATGAAGGCAGGACCCTGTCTTTCTTCAGTCAACCAGTTTTTAATCCCCAATGCCTGGGAGCTCAATGACTAATTATTGAAAATATAATTTTATATGTCCTTAGATTAATGAAAATATACTTTTTATAGTATTTGTTCTGTTTTAGTAGATAAAGTTTGTCTCTGAGGCTAGGTGACATTGTGTCTCATGTTTTCTGAGGATATGAAAATTGTTCAAATAATGTATGTTACATCCTTGTGTCTATGACGTTTTGGCTGAGGTTTTGCGTGTAATTTGGGAATCTCTGGAGACCCTTCAGAAAAAATTTATTGAACACCCACCCACTCCATGTCACATGTGGGCAAGACTTCGAGGGAAAATGATTTTCTACCTGGTGTGGTGAATTTGGGGTCGATCTCCTGAATGAAAGATTTCAAGAGAGGGTAAACTGTTGACGTCAAGTTTCACTGAGTGGCGGGGACGGTGCTAGGACTACACCTAGACCGTCGCTCAAGAAGCTCCGTCCCCAAACGGCTTTTTTTTTTTTTTTTTTTTTCATTCCGGAACTTGTCTTTCCTTCCCCACTGCGCTTCCTCCCCGGACTCTTTTGAGCAAGGAGCACTTCCGGAGTCTCCCGGCAACTTGGGGTGGTCCTTCCTGCCAGGGCTCACCCGTGGGCTCGCTCGCGCCGGTGAGGCTCCCTCGTGGCCTCACACGCTCGTTCCCCGGTCTTATGGCCGGTCTGACTCTATTTGTGGGCCGTCTCCCGCCCTCGGCTCGCAGTGAGCAGCTGGAAGAGCTGTTCAGTCAGGTGGGTCCGGTGAAGCAGTGCTTCGTGGTGACCGAGAAAGGTAAGGTGTGGGATGGCGGAGAGGGCTGGGCGTGCGTGCTCCTGGGAGCTGGAACACGCTGCATTTCAGGGAGCGATGCAGTTACAGGTTGTTTTGAGACAAGGGTCACACTGTAGCCCAAGCTGGCCTCGAATTCGCTACCTGCCTCAGCCTTCTGAGCCACCCCGGCTGTAAGCATCCCGTTCTTACCCCTCTCCAAAGGCACGGGACCGGGGACTCCGTTTCTTTTCTAAACTGACTCTGCCGTGGGTTTGCCAGCAAGGTCTATGCACGAAAGGCAAAGCACCCACTTAGCGTTCCTGTTGCGTTTCCCTCTTTATTACGCGTGTTCCAGTGTTCAAAGGCCTGGCGAAATGGCGGGCATCCCTGCATTTGGTAGGCTGTGGCAGGAGGATTGCTGGGAATTCGAGGACAGCCTGGTTTAAATGGCAAATTCAGGCCAGCTTGGATACATAGTGAGACCCTGTCTCAAACGAGCAACCTAAACTAACATTTAATAAAGCACCTGTATGGCCTATTGAGAACGAGATGATTGCCGGGCAGGTAGGGTCTTTAGTTTGATATGTTAACTTATTTAATGTTTACAACAACCTTATATGGTAGAGAGTCTTAATCCCATTTTGTTGTTGTTGTTTTTCTGTATTTGTATTTTGAGACAGGGTTTCTCTGTGTAGCTTTGTAGACCAGGCTGGCCTCGAACTCACAGAGGTCCACCTGTCTGTGCCTTCCAAGTGCTGGGATTGAAGGCGTGCGCCACCACTCCCTGGCTTAATCCCATTTTTTTCCCCTTTAAAATACAGGAATAAAAGCTTTAAGGACATTTAGTGATTTGAAATTTGCATGGTAAGTAGAGGACTCAATTTGATCAGCATAGTGGAGCTCTTAGTATGTTTTCCACTCATCTGTTTATGTGGCAAATACTTCTTGAATGCCAACTATATTCCAGAACCCTGTTGACTGTCCTTGGAATTGAGTAAATGTGTGACACTAAATCAGAAATCCTGTTCTTGTATATTAATGGTTGGAAAGACAGCCAATAAGTAACCAAATTATATGTTGGTAATGGTGGTAAATGAGGAGAAGAATAAAAAGAATGGGATAGGGAGGTGTGTGTGTGTCTGTGTGTGTGTGTCTGTGTGTGTGTGTCTGTGTGTGTGTGTCTGTGTGTGTGTCTGTGTGTGTGTGTCTGTGTGTGTGTCTGTGTGTGTGTGTGTCTGTGTGTGTGTGTGTCTGTGTGTGTGTGTCTGTGTGTGTCTGTGTGTCTGTGTGTGTGTCTGTGTGTGTGTCTGTGTGTGTGTGTTTGTGTGTGTGTCTGTGTGTGTGTCTGTGTGTGTGTCTGTGTGTGTGTGTCTGTGTGTGTGTCTGTGTGTGTGTCTGTGTGTGTGTGTGTGTCTGTGTGTGTGTCTGTGTGTGTGTCTGTGTGTGTGTGTCTGTGTGTGTGTCTGTGTGTGTGTCTCTGTGTGTGTGTGTCTGTGTGTGTGTCTGTGTGTGTGTGTCTGTCTGCGTGTGTGTTGGCTAGGAAAGACCTGCCTGAGGAGAGAGTGAACTTAAGAATTTCTACGGGACAGAACAGTCTGAATTCAGGAAGCAGCAACCCTAATATTAAAACAGGTATGTCTTTGTATAGAAAGAGAGCAGAGTGGCCAGGGTGACAAGGAATGTGGATAAAGGGAGAGAATTAGAAAATGAGGACCAGAGTATCAGGTCATATAGGACCTTACCAACCATTACAGATTTTTATTCTCCAGAGCAGTTGTTGGTTTTAAGAGCAATGACTGATCTTCTAGACTTATGTTTTAAAGGACTTTCTGGCTGCTGTGGGTGTTGGATAGATGTTTATCCGTAGAAGAGAGGGGACCAGCTGGTAGGCTCTAAGAGTAATTTGGGGAGAAATAGTGGTATTGGACCAAGATAATAGCAATAGAAGTGGGGAGAATTGTTTTGTATGTGGACATTGTTAAGGTAAAATAGGATCTGCTGAAGCATTAGATATGGCATGTAAGCCACAGAGGAAGAAGGGAGTTGGGTCTGATTCCAGGGACTTTGGCGTCAGACACTGGAGAGATGGACTGGCTTGCTGTACGCTTCATGTTCCGTTTCATTAGATTATCTCATATGAAGACGTGGTGTGGAGCAGAGAGAAGGAATTTTAATGATTTTCGTGTAGAAACATTTCTTTCTCAACCAGCCTTTCCTGGGATACTTGGATATTTTGTTACCCAGAACATACATTTAGATCCTTTTGATCTCAGCAGGTAACTGTCTCTGCCTTTCACACCTTTAATCCCAGCACTCCTTGGCAGAGGTAGGTGGGTATCAGTGAGTTGGAGGCTAAGCCTTGTCTACAAAGTGAGTTCAGGACAGCCAGGACTATTACAGAGAGGAACCCTGTCTTGAAAAAAAAGAAAGACCATGAGGCTGGCAAGGAAGAATTAACATAGTTCTTTTTAAAATTCTTTTTTTTTTTTTTTTTTTTTAAAGATTTATTTATTATGTATAGTGTTCTGCCTGTATGTATGACTACAGGCCAACAGAGGGCACCACAGCTCATTATAGATGGTTATGAGCCACCATGTGGTGGCTGGGATTTGAACTGAGGACCTTTGGAAGAGCAGTCAGTGCCCTTAACCACTGAACCATCTCTCTGGCCCCTAGAATTATTTCTTATGTGCCTGGGTATGTATGCATGTATGTATGCATGTGCATCATGTGTCTGCCTGGTGTCCTGGTGCCCTTGGAGGCCTGAAGAGGGTATTGCATCCCCTGGGACTAGAGTTACAGATGGTTGTGGGCCACCATTTAGGTGCTGGGAATTGAACCCCACTTTTGTGGAAGAAGAGTCAGTACTCTTAACCACTGAGCCTTCTCTCCAGTCCCTTAGCTTAGTTTTTAATACTGTTTTGACATTCACTTCTCTCTCTGAAACTACTCTTTGGAAAGAAGGGGTGGGATTCATGTTACCTAGGTTGGAGTGTTCTGAAGCTAAAATGAGGCCAGGAATCTATACCTTCTTGGAAAGTATTTGAGTAGATACTGAAATGCTAAGGTCTTGACATAGTGGTTTTTTAGGGCCTTACTCATTTATTGTTAATATCTTCTAATCTGATTTTTCAAATTTACCATATATATTTTTCCTATTCTTTCTGGTGATCTTTCATAGTTTAAAATTGAATTCTTCATGGGCCCCTCGTATTCTTAGATTATAAGACTGGAGTAAGAAGAGGCAATAACATCAAGATAGCAAATTGGAAGAGAGAGGAAGCCTTATAGTCCTGAGTAGAATGGGGAAGGGTCCCAGCCTTGTTTCCTTTCCCTTGAGACTTGTGTCTTTGATTGCTCACAGGTCTTCACTTTCATTTCCTTTCTTCTTGCATTGTTCTAGGGACCAAGGCATGCCGAGGCTTTGGCTATGTCACTTTCTCCATGCTGGAAGATGTTCAGAGGGCGCTCAAGGAGATCACTACCTTTGAAGGTTGCAAGATCAATGTGACTGTTGCCAAGAAAAAACTAAAGAACAAGTCCAAGGAAAAGAGGAAAAATGGTGAGTTTCTAGTAATTCCCCAAGAGGAAAGAAGACACTGAAAACTTGAAAACTGAAAGTGATCAGAAAACTGGGAGATAGCCTCTAGAACTTGTGCTCCCTAGTTTTCTTTTTGTTGTCAAAACCCCTCTGGTATGCTATGGCAGTCAGACATTCACTTGCATCTTGGTCTGGGAAATCGCATATTCCTGGATATTGCACACTTGAACCCATGGCAGATGCTGTCTGTATGGGTACCTTTTTCACTTACGTCTAGCCTAGAAGTGGGTTTGCAGACTTATCCCTTGTCTCTCCTTTTAGAAAATTCAGAGTCCCCAAAGAAGGAGCCAAAGCCCAAAAAAGCCAAGGTGGCAGATAAGAAAGCCAGATTAATTATCCGAAACCTCAGCTTTAAGGTAGGTGATTAACTAAGTACATGTTTTGAAGGGTGCTTGAACCAAGGCATGCTCATTGGTGGGACTCCTCACCAAGATGGTAGTTATTACTGGGAAATAAACCTTAGCCTGTTGAATTGAAAAAGCTTTATGACCTGAGTTTGATCTCTGGGTACCACGTGATGGAGGAAGAAAACCAACTCTTGCAAGTTGTCCTCTGATTTGCACACATGAGCACACAATTGCCCTCCCCCCAAATAAAATAAATCAATACAATTTTAAAAGACCTTATCAATCCCTTTAGGAAGCTACTACCGAGAAAGAGGTCTGTGTGCTCAGCTTTTCTTTCCTTCCCTTTCTGAGACAGGGTCTCGTGTAGCACATGTGCACATCAAACTTTCTAGCTAAGGCTAGCCTTTCCTGATCCTCCTGACTCTGTCTGGCTTTTTTCTTTTTGGCCTTTTAGATACAAAGGAAGCTGTCAGTCTGTTTATGCTTGTTTGCTGTTCTGGTTTTGAAAGTTTAAAAAAAAAAAGTAGGAATAAAAGTATTCAGACTCTTTCTAGAAAATGAACTTAGTAGTTGATATTTCATATTTATTTGCTGTGCTAATACTTCTCGTTTTCCTTTTGGCCTTAGTGTTCAGAAGATGACTTGAAAACGATATTTACTCCCTATGGAACTGTTCTGGAAGTGAATATCCCAAGGAAGCCAGGTACTTGTGCACCTTCATTTGGTGTGGATTTGATGAAGACTAATGTGAATTTTTCAATACTACTGAAGCAAAAATAACCCTTTTGTTGTGTTCTCTGTGGCCCTAGGCAGTATGATATTTGCAGAGTACCTGGCGTAGTACTTGACAATAGTGAAGGCCAAGTGCTAGTGTTATTCCTTGAAGATGTTTTTAAGAAGCTCAGACTTAGTCAGTACCACTGCTATTGACTGCTTGCTCTCCCAAAGCTGGAATAATAGAGGATAACTATTGTTTTGGGCAGGGACCTGATTGATTGGCAGGCTGTGGACTGTCAGCCTACTGCTGTGATCTTCCTATTCTGTTGGCTACCCCCTGCTGCCTCTAACTTTTTTGTACATTTGTTCACAGATGGAAAGATGCGTGGTTTTGCTTTTGTTCAGTTCAAAAACCTCCTTGAAGCAGGAAAAGCTCTCAAAGGCATGAACATGAAAGAGATAAAAGGTGAGTCTTTTACGCTCATACCATGGCCCAGTTATTTCTGGCACTTGAGTGAATTAGCACAGTAACCTCCTTTTTTCTTTCTTTTGTATGTTCAAAAGATGTTCCTACTTCTTAGGATCACATTGCTAAAATGGTAGCTCATGTAGCCCAGAGTAGCCTTGAATTCCCAAGTTGCCAAGGAACATCTTATCTTTCTGGCTCAACTTCCTAGTTCTGGGATTACAAGCATGCTTCACCACACTTATAATTTTTGGTGAAAATTTTTTAGTATTTGATCCTGGGCTAAACTTGGAAGAACTCATGGCAGGAGCCTTTCCTTCATTTGGTTTGAATGTCATTTTGAAGTTCCTAATACTATCTTGGACAGAACTGCTGATACATGCACGTTGGTGCCTACATTCCTCTGTTTTGGTTGAACCACTCTTTTCTCAATACCCATGGGCTATTAAACTGATAGTCTACTCTTGGTACCATCAGGTACCAGGCTGATGGAAGAGATCAACTTAGTTCCTTCCTAACTTTTGAGCAGGATTTCCATTTTCCCAGAATGTCTGTTTTGCTTCTTGCCTGTGTAACTGGAAACATAATTCTTTGTTTACCTCATATTATCCAAGGTGTGATGGCTGTGTTAAAAAAGCTGAATTTTTTTGTTTAAAGATTAGGCTGGGTGGTGTTGGTGCATGCCTTAACCCAGCACTCGGGAGGCAGAGGCAGGAGGATCTCTGTGAGTTTGAGGCCAGCCTGGTCTATAGAGCTAGTTCAGGGTAGGCTCCAAAGCAATACAGAGAAACCCTGTCTCAAAAAAACAAAACAAAACAAAACAAAAAACAAACAAACAAAAGTTAAGGATTAAAAAGAGCTACTGTAGGTATTTTTGGTTGGGACCACCAGCTCCCCCAAAACCAGACTTATTAATTATAAATGCTTGGCTGATAGCTTAGGCTTGTTACTAATTAGCTCTTACAACTTAAATTAACCCATTTATATTAACGTAGGTACTGGTATATGGCTCATGGCTTGTTACTTCTTTTTCTATGTGTCCTGTTTCCTCTTCCTGGCTGGTGACTCCACCCTCCTCCTTCCCAGCTCTCTTTTCCACAAGTTCTGCTTAACCTCCAGCTGCCTAGCGACTGACCATTTAGGGTCTTCATTAGACCAATGAGAGCAACAAATATTCATAGTGTAAAAAGATTGCTCCACGGTGAGCTATTAGGGACATTTCTAGTTTTGTTTTTGTTTTGAAACAGTATCTTACAAGGTAGTCCAGGAATTCAAGATCTTCTTTCCTCTCTATCTTTAAGAACCAATAGTTAGCCAGTCAGTGTCGCATGCCTTGAAGGCAGAGGTAGGCAGATCTCTGTGAGTTCAAGGCCAACCTGGTCTTCAGAGTTTCAAGACAGGTTCCAAAGCTACACACAGAAACTCTGTCTTGAAAAAAACAAAACAAAAAACGTAATAGTCAGGTTGGAGAGATGGCTCAGCACTTAAAGGCTAGGCTCACAATAGTCTTAGAATTGGTTCCCTTTTGATGGGAGGGAAGTAGGGATATTAAAAGAAGAAAGTCTCTCTGATCCGTCCTCTTCTTTTTTTGACAGGACGGACTGTGGCTGTGGATTGGGCTGTAGCAAAGGACAAATACAAAGATACTCAGCCTGCTTCTACCCCAGGTAAGCTGTGTTAGCATTAGGTAGGAGGGTTATTTGGGGCAGGGAGGGGGGAGGGGGAGACATAACACAATTCTTGTGTTTTTTTTGTTTGTTTTGAAACAGGGTTTCTCTATGTAGTCCTGGGACTTGCTATATAGATCAGTCTGCCCTTGAACTCACAGAAATCTCCCTGCTTCTGCCTCTGAAGTGCCATCATGCACAACATGTATTGGGGCTTTTATGTAGAGTGGGAATATTGAGCATAATATTAACAACAACAACAAAAAAGATCAGGCAGTGGTGGCACACACCTTTAATCTCAACACCCAGGAGGCAGAGGCAGGCAGCCTGGTCTACAAAGTGAGTTCCAGTATAATCGGGTACACAGAGAAACCCTGTCTCAAAAAAACAAAACAAAACAAAAAAAACAAAAAACAAAAAAAAAAAAGCATCTCCAAATTCATGTGGGCTCAAGGCTGCTTGTGTGGTAAGCTGATCCCCAAACATTGGATCTTTTGAGTCTAAAGTCTCTTCTGAGATATGGGTATGAGTGAGGAGGGCCTGAGTTTGTTCATTCTTCCCTGTATTTTCTCTCTTTTCATCATCCCATACTGATGAATCATTAAGGAGAGAGTAGAGCCAGGCATTGGTGGTGCACACCTTTAATCCCAGTACTCAAGAGGCAGAGGCAGGAGGATCTTTGTGAGTTCGAGTTCAGCCTGGTCTACAGAGCTAGTTCCAGGACAGGCTCCAAAGCAATACAGAGAAACCCTGTCTCAAAAAAACCAAAAAAAAAAAAAAAAAAAAAACAGAGAGAGAGAGAGAGCATGGTTGGAGGGCTCATTGGAGCACTCACTGGTTTCTCTTCTAGGGGATCTGAGCATCCACATGGTAGCTCACAAACATCCAACTATAGTTCCAGGGGATCTGAGAGCATTGTATGCTCATGGTGCATAGACACATAAGCAGGCAGAACACTCTCATATGCATAAAATATTTTAATTAAAAGTTTTGAAAAATGAAAGAAAACTTTAAATGCTTTTAAGTCAGAGTATTACACATTGAAACTAAAGCTCATGGAGGGCCAGAATGAGCAATGTGTTTGTGTGGTGTTTAAGTGGCCTGTCTGAAGAGTTTTGCTTGCTGTTCCTCACTTTCTGGGGCAGGTTAACCTTCAGGCTTCTGATGAGAACAAGAAAAGGAGGAATCAAATCTAAGTGGTGACAGCTTTGCTTTTTGTCTTCATATTTGCTGTTACTGTATGCTGTCATTTTTGGGGTCTCTGAGGAATTGATTCACAGACTGTGCTCAGCAAATCCTTGGGTGCTCAAATCTCTTAGAGAATTAATGTAATCCTTCCATGCATTTGAGATCTTCTCTAGATTAGTTGTCAACCTAATATAATACACAGCTTTGTAATAGTTGTTATACTGAATTGTCCAGGCACTATTGACACGATGTTTTTAAAAAATCTTTTTGTCTGTGGTTGATTGGATCTGAGGATGGAAAACCGATAGAAATGAAAGCCTGACTGTATGGTAAGAAAATAAATAAATAAATAAAAATAGGAAACCCTGAAAAGTCAAAGGAACAAGGAGCTTGGGTTATTAGTTATTCCTGTTAAAATAACCTTATTTTAGATAGTAAATGAATTCCTCTTTTTAATCTTCTCTACAGATGGGAAAAGGAGCAGTGAGCATAAGCATAAGGAAGCAGGTAAAAAGAATGGCAGGGTGGAAGAGCAAGAAGACGACGATGATGATGATGATGAAGATGATGACGAAGGTGATGATGGCGATGAAGAGGAAAGTAGAGAATCAACAATGAAAATTCAGAAGAGGTAGGCCTGTTCTGAGACACTGGGGACGACGGCGTTTTTCCTGAGCTCAGTCACTTATGTGTCAGCCCAGATGATGAGATCTGAACTGTGCTGTTGCAGAGCAGTGAAGAGAGCAGCTCCTGAAGAAAGCGCTGAGGAAGACCTTTCTGATGAAGACGGTGATGTGGAGGGAGGAGGGAGTGATGGTGGTGAAGGAACCGTGCAGAGTGGGAGCAGTGCTGAAGAACAAGAGGATGAAGGTTTGCTGGGGTCTTCATAAATGCCTTTCAGCCTTGAATAAATTACTGAGACATGCACACCAGCTCTGCCCAGGCCTCTTTGCAAATACTTTTTCTATCAAATTCTTGTTAACTACTAAAAAGGAGACTTTTATTTTCATTTTCTCAAATGCTTTTCTCCCCATCCCCGTATCCCCCTTTCCCCTCCCCCTCTCCCTCTCTTTTGAGACAGAACCTCATAGCCCAGGCTGACTTTGACGATGCTGTGTAGTAGACGATGAGCTTGATTTCTGACCCTCTTGCCTCTATCTGCTGGCTGATGGGCTTGCACCACCACTCCTAGTTTATGTGGCTGGGGATCAAACACAGGACTGTGCATGCAAGGCAGACACTCTACTAACTGTGCTGTATTCCTACTCCCCTCTGCCCCCTTTTTGAGACAGGTCTCCTAAAGCCTAGGCTGGCCTCAACCTCAGTATGTAGATGAGAATACCTTGAGCCCTGTGACTTCACTGTAATGACCAATGATGGGAGGATTACAGGTGTGCACCACTGTATCTGGTTTATGTGATGTTAGGGTTTGAACCCAGGGCTTCATGCATGCTAGGTCAGTGTTTACCAGCTGAGCTACATTCTGAATTTGTTTCTTTATTGTTTGCTTTGTTTTAAAGATGTGTTTGTGAAGATATTTGAGAATTTAGAGTCTTACTAGGAAATTTAAATTAGAAGTGCTACCACTTCTAATTGTCTAAGTTGAATGATAAACAGGATATATTACATGTTTACACAGTGAATATATTTAAAAAAACTCTTTGAGTTGAGATGTAGATAAGTTTTACAAACACAATTCTGAGTTTGAGATGAGATGAAGAATTATAAATTCAACTTGGGCTTCCATAACAAATTCCACATACTTGTGGCTCAAATGAGATGGATTTATTTCCTTATAGTTCTGGAGGTTAGAAGTCCCCAGATCAAGGTGCCCTGTTTCTGCCTACAGACTTTCCCTGCTCAGGGTCTTCACATAGTTTTTCCCCAAGCGTTGGGTTATGGAGAATAAAACAAAACACCCAGAACTCTGGTCTTTCTTCCTCCTCTAATAAAGATACTAGTCCTCCTGCCCATATGACTCCACTTAGCCTTAATTACCTCTCTGAAGTCTCCGTCTCCAAGGATAATGATACTAGGAGTTAAGGCTTTATGTATGAATTTTGGAGAGGCACAGTTTAGTTCCTAACAAGGATTTCAGGGAGCATTTTGTAGAGCTATTACCAATCCATGTTGCTCCCTTTATGGAGGATCATTAGACAGTGAGAAATGGTCGATAACTACTTTGTCCAAGTGGCTGTTTTTACTCAGCTGTTTTGCTCCCATTTCTCTAAGTCTGGTGTTCTGGTTTGGCCACATAAGAGATAGAGGCAATAAAGTTTTTTGTTCATGCGGACAGAGTCAAGGCTTTTGTATTGAGTTCACAATGAGACCTACAATTTGGATTCATTTGCATCTGTCATTTTCTTTTTTGAATCTGAAAACCTAGTGGGACTCAAGACGTTAAAGAATACAGCACAAAGGAGCTTAATGTAGAAATCCAAAATTGTTCACCGGTCCAACAGTTCTCCAGAGCAATCAGTTTTCCAGAACTTTTGTCTATATGCACATAGCATATATGAGGTTTTCTTTTTCTTTTTGGGATAGGATCTCAGAGTGAGACCGTTCTCTCTCTCTCTCTCTCTCTCTCTCTCTCTCTCTCTCTCTCTCTCTCTCTTTCTCATTTGTTTTGCTTGATCTCTGCCCTCCTCTCTTGTGGCTGGGGATTGAACCTATGTACTTGTTTATGTTAAACACATACCCTACCACTGAGCTACACCCACGGTCCCTCTGCTTTGCTTTTCTTTACGTTTGAGCATCTTTTAATGTATTTAGTTGTTTAAATTAAAATGTAAAATAATTTATGTAAAATATTTAAAAAAGTTAGCCCTTTGTCATATGACTTGCATTGTCTTTTTGAGTTTTTTGGTTTTGTTTTTTGTGTTGTTGTTGTTGTTGTTATTTACATTAGATGTCCCAGTCTCAAAGAAAAAGAAGAGGAAGTTGCCCTCCGACGTGAGCGAAGGGAAAACTGTTTTCATCAGGTACGCCTTCCTTATGCAGAGCGTTGCACCATCTGCCCGGGCCTCTTTGCTTTCCTCCTTTCCTCCTTTCCTCTCCCCTTCCCTTCCTCTCTCTTCCCTTTACTTAGCACTAAAGGTGGATGCTATCAGACTGTTAGCACATCTCATCTGAGGGATGTACCAGTCAGAAATTTAAGAGCAAGAACTTAAAACAGGAGGTAACTAGTAGGTAGGGTTCTTGTCCTGTCTAGATTTTATGTTTTATGGTTGGGGTGGCAACTTTTGAAACATTTCAGCTCTTAACTGGTTGTGACCTTTACTGTAGAAGACATACTGAGTTGATACCATTTGCCCTGGATATTTTTTCTCTTCATGCTTAACTTTTCTAGCCTCCTTTTTTAATTTTAATTTTTTGGTTTTTTGAGACAGGGTTTCTCTATATGGTTTTGGAGCCTGTCCTGGAACTATAGACCAGGCTGGCCTCAGACTCACAGATTCTTCAAGTTGTCCTCTAATTGTCACATGTGTTTCCTGGTATAATCACACATACACGCTAAATTTTTAAAAATATGTAAAAAATATTTTAGCTTTTTAGATTAAAGCTATTCAGTGTATAGTTCCTGTTTTTCTCTTTCCTTCCTTTCATTTCACCTTTCTCCTGTCTCCTATATTTGCCTAGTCATCTTTACCATGTTTTTCTTTTCTATTGTTTTGAAGGATTTTCTTGGAACATTTTAACTGAAATCCAGATTTCATAATTAACATGGAGGGGATATGTCTAATTCAATAAACGAAAGATATGTTTCTTACTAGCCTGCTGTGAAAATTTCTGGGTGTAGTAAGAGAAGCTAATTTTAGCCACATCCCATGACAAGAGGATGGCTTGGGTGTATAGTATTTGCTCATAGAATTGGTGTTGTCAAGGTGCAGATCTCAAGTAGGGACTAAAATCTGGGCAGTTGTGAGACTTTGCTGCTGGAGGTTCTGGGTCTTTTCTCTATGATACTGTCATTAAAATAATGAAGGCACACGGTGTTTCTGTAAAATATATCACTGTAAGGGTACAGCTAAGCAAAGTCTGTATGTACACTCATAGTTACCAGGACACAATGCAGCATATCTGTATCACTCCAGTGTTTTAGCTGTGATGCTCTTAGCCTAAGGGAATCTGTATCTGTAACTTTGAGTCTTTTTATTTGTCTATTAAGTTTTAAATTCCCAGGCGAGAGAATGTGATATTGGAAGGTTAGGAAGTTAGGACAAAAGGACAGAATCATATAGCAGAGGCTTAGCCACTAGGGGCCACTCTTGTGTACTGGTGCTATTTTTGAACAAGGGAGAATGGTTGTAAACAGGGAGCCATCAGAGTTGATGTCTAATTCATGTCCCTCATATTGAAATGCAAGATCTTACTTTGTCATTGAAAATTTTGTGGCCTGGTTTTGTTCCACAGAAACCTTTCATTTGACTCAGAAGAAGAAGATCTTGGGGAGGTCCTCCAGCAATTTGGTGATCTTAAATATGTCCGAATTGTCTTGCATCCAGACACAGAGCATTCTAAAGGTATTTGCCCTCAGCTGACCAGGCCCAGCATTAGTAAAGAGCATGAATTATGCCCTTCTGGGTGTTACAGAGTCTGACCAACCAGTCTTTTGGTTTCCACAAAAGCCCAAGGACACCCTGAAATTGTCTTCCATGATCTGAAAGTCAGCAATTTAATGGCTTTGCCAGCTTTAATTTTGTCTCAGCCTTGAAAGCTCTTGCTTGTTTACTTTAAGATAATGAATTCCATTTGTTGTTCTCCTTTGCATTTCAAATGTGATAGCATCTCCTGGGTATTAATAGTCTACACTGCTCAAAATTAATGGGGAACTGTTTTTTTCTTTGACGCTTTTGTTAGAGATGAAAACTGACAGAAACTTTTTTGCATGGCAACAGTCAGAAGGAAAACTATGTAAAAGGAGTGAGATATTTTCCCCTAATTCTATTTATTTTGTACTCTGAAGGCTAAGCATTCATTCTAGCACACTGCTGTGTATTAGAATACGAATATAGACACATATAGCATCAATCTATTTATAATCTTTGACTTCATGGACTGCATTCATTCTGCTCAAGCTACCTAAAACTTAACTTTTCCATTATGGTGTCCAAAATACTTGACAGAAAGAAAACAGGATTTATTTTGTTTTGGCACATGGCAGAACAGCTCAGCTCTTTCATAGAGGGCCAGGAGGCAGAGGCAGGGTGAAGCCAAGGACCTGTTAGTCTCCCCCGTTTCTTTGATTTTACCCTGGCCCCTAGACCATGAAGTACCCACCTTCAGTCTCCTAGGTGATTCTACATCCAGTCAGGTTGGTGATGAAAGATAAGCCATTATAAACATTGAGTTCGATTGTTTGGATTCTTGATTCCTTTACACTCTAGCAAATGTTGTATGCCCTCTCCTCAGAAGAATGCTCTTTCTGACAGTTTGTGGGTTCTTAAGTTTATCCATGGTTAAGAACTACTTACTGAACAGCTTCCTGGAGATTAGGGATGAAACTCTCCTTAGTCACATACCAATTTGCCAAGTTATTTAATCACTGTGAGCTTGGGTTTTTACATGGAAAATTACTATAGTAGTAAAATGTCTTCAACACTAAACTTCTTGGACCTCTTTCATTTCTGGTTTGTTTTTCTAGAATGGCCAGCTAGTGATAATGTTTCACTTATGTTTCTTTTTGAGTATAACAGTGTATTTAATATTTTTACAATGTAGTCTACAATTGATTTGCTAGATTTCTTTCCTTTTTCTTTTTCTTTTGGTCTATTGATCTTACTAGTTTCTGATTTTAAAAGCATAATTAAAAATTATTTTTCCTCCCTGAGCAGGGTTTCTCTGTGTAGCTCTGGATGTCCTGAAACTCATTCTGTAGACCAGGCTGGCCTTGAACTCAGAGATCCCTACCTCTGCCTCCTGAGTGCTGGGACTAAAGGTGTACACCATCACCACTACCAGCAATACTTTAATTTTTTAAACTGTATTGTCATTTACTAGCTCCAATTTGCTAAGTAAAGTTTGACACCTTTTCTATGCTCCACTAATAGTTTGTTTCTCTTGGCAAGCCATTTTATTACCCAGAAGAGTTACATGTGGTGACAGTTTGTTTATCTTGGCAAGCCATTTTATTACCCAGAAGAGCTACATGTGGTGATCCACATACTTGAGGGAGATGCTAACCCTGAACCCAAATACTGACATTGCAAGTTTCAGTGATTAAATTCTTACTCTTCTTATACTTTTGATATTTTTTCTTTTTGAGACAGGGTATCACTATATAGACCAGACTGGCCTGGAACTTACAGAAATCTGCTTGCCTCTACTTCCTGAGTGTTGGGATTAAAGGTGTTTTATACTGTACTTGGTCTGATTTTTCTTGATATGAGATGACTAGGCTAATTTGCATATTAGACATTTTTACCTCCTCCATCTTGTATTACTTTCATTACACTTGTCCTGCATTACCAAGTTTTTCATTACACTTGTCCTGTATTACCAAGTCAGGAATTTGTTCTAGGACCATGGCAAATACCAAAATTTGTGAGTGCTCAAGTTCTTCATATAAAATGACACAGTGTTTGCATATAACCTATGTACTTCTTTCCATATATTTTTTGTTTTGGTTTTCAGGACAAGGTTTTTCTGTGTAGTCCTGTGTGTCCTGGAACTCCATTTATAGACCAGGCTGGCCTTAAACTCACGAGATCCTGCCTGCCTCTGCCTCCCACATACTGTGATTAAAGACCCCTTGGCTCTTTCCGTATACCTTAATCTCTAGATCACATATATGCATTAAGGAATGAAAATAAAGCAACTTCCTTTTGAATTAGTTTAGCTAAGAATAAGCCCAGTATGAGTTCTACATTTCTCTAGTGTCTGCTGTATGTCCCTAATAAAAGGCTTTGCCGCATATTTTTGAACAGCACAGAAAACATGGCATGGAGAAGTAATGGGGGATTCTTTATAGAAATCTTGACAGGGGAAGAAGTAACTTTGTTCCTTCCAACTGACCTAGTATAGCAACAAAACTGCAACAGATGTTATCAGCCTACATTTACATGTTCCTCTCAACATTTATGACGCATTGTTGTTTAAGGTTTTTAGCAAATGATTAGTACAGTGCACACACACACTTAAACACTGTTTTGGGTCGAGGCATGGAAGAGAATGTAACCTAAGGTTAAAGCTATACATTTAACTTAGATTGCAAAAGCTGTGTAGGAAATCCAAGGCACAGTAAGACTTGTTGCTTATTTTCTTCAAGGCAGTTAAGCTTAAAGAGGCTGAGTACACAGTAGGACATAGGGTAAGTGCATAGCCTTAGATGACCTCAAGGCACATTACTGACTTGATGGCGAGGCCTGGGAAAAGTTTCTTCTCCTTGGTCAAGAGATGCTTTCATAAAAATGTATCAGTACACACTCACTCCTAAAGAACAAGGTAAGTTGTTGTTAGGTGGTTTTTAGAGAATGGCAAGTTCTGTATAGACAGTTTTTTCCCCAAGTATGCTTGTGCTGTGCATGGCTGACTCAACTAATGCATAGCCCATGGTTCTGAGCTTAAACTGTTTGTTTCTTCTGACTGTCTCTGTGCTGTAGCAGAGCAGGTAGTCCAGATTTCTGAAGTACTTCTTATTTTGGGGAAGATGCTACCTGACCAGTGCCTAAAGAGATGTGGATAGAGGGTGGGAAGGTTTCTAACACAGAAGTGAGACACTTGGCCCTGTCTGGGAGAGTTAGAGATCTCTCTAGATGGTGACTCTTAGGTTAGCCTATTGTATGTGTGCTTTAGATTAATCTACCTAGATTCCTTCCAGTACACGGCAGAAGATAATAAATGCCCTATCTCTGGGAGACATGGTAGTGTTTTCATGTGAGAGAATTCTTTTTTGACTTTTGAAATACACTAATAACATATTTGAAACTTTTTTATTTTTTTATTTTGAGATTTACTGTGAGGTGAACTTGTGCAAAGTTGCTTTTAATCTATAGTAGACATTTATTTAGATGATTGGTCCTGCATCTGACCAGTGGAAGGCATGCTTTGTAAAGATTCTAGAGCAGAAGCCAACGGTTGAGGTCATGGCTGTCTTCCTGCCATATTTATATAATAGCCTCTTTTACCCCAAGAGGTGTATTATCTGCTGTTATTTGATGCCTCCCAGGTGACTCTTAAGACCATGAGGTGTAATATCAGAGTTAAATAGTTCTGCTTCATCTTTCACTGTACTACTAGGGACTCTGTGATGGTGAATTAAATGGTTAGCTGGATTTCTCTGTCATTTTATGTGGGTGTTATTAAGGAGATAGTTGATGAGACCAAATGCTAAGAACAGATGTGTATGCTATGGTGTCTGGCTCCGATCCTGCACCACTTAACATAGTACCTGTCCCATAGATACTGTGGATATTCTTAGGGTTTTTGCTTACTGTGGAATGAGAAGTGTCTCACTAAACTTTGTGTCTTGGTGCAGGTTGTGGATTCGCACAGTTCATGACTCAGGAAGCAGCTCAGAAATGCCTTGCAGCTGCCTCTCCAGAGGCTGAGGTAAGGAAAATATGTCCTTCCCCTATGCCTAGAACATAGTAGCTCTTAGATGCGAGATCTGATCCTTACACCAGGTTTTATTATTACTAATAAAGTGAAGGCTTGAGCACTTAGTATGTATTCAGCACTGAGCTTTGCATTTGCTGCCTTAATTATCCACTGAGAGTACAGTTACCCGTATTTCTTACCCATGTTACCCCATTCTAGGCTAATAAGGTATTAGCCTAGGTATTAATGCCATCTGGGAAACTAGATGCACATTTGATAGACAAAGTGTAGAGAATTTTTCTGTGCTTTTAAATGAAGTATATAGTTTTTGAGACGTTATCGTGTATTGTCATTGTCTCTTAAATACTCTGTTTCACTAGCTTTAGAATACTGAACATTTGTTCACAGTTTAGGCCTGTTTTAGAGCTACAACTGTAAAGTTAAATCCTTACTGCTGATTGCCTTAAGTATATGCACATGTGACCTTTTGTACAATTGTAAAAGTGAGTGTGAGTCTCAAGGGTCCACATGTAGTCAGCTAGGCCTGGCTTTCACAGCATAATTACAGCATACTAAATGATATTCCTTCTTATGTCCTTTCTGCTTTTAAGTATTTGAAGAGAAGGTAACAATATGTTTCAGGGTGGTGGGCTTAAGCTAGATGGCCGGCTGCTCAAGATTGACTTGGCTGTGACCCGTGATGAGGCAGCAAAGCTTCAGACAAAGAAGGTGAAGAAGCCGACTGGGACCCGGAACCTCTATCTGGCCCGAGAAGGCTGTGAGTAGTGGAAGATAGGAACCAATCATCTGAGTAGCTGGCTCTGGAACATGAGAGTGAGCCAGCGATTATATTTTGAGATGTGTTTCCCATGAAAACCCCAAATTTCCTCCTTGGAGTGTTGCATTGCTGTTTGATCCACTTCAGTAGATGTGGCTTTGTTAGGACCCTTCACCCAGTTTGCAGATTGCCCTCAGTCTCGTTCTTCCCTCTGTCTGGTCGCATTAGGTGTTTCCGCTGTAGGTTAGAAGCACGAAGCAGAAGAACTCAAATTACCTGCTTCTCATCTTCATTTCTTATGTATGAGGTTTTGTTTTGTTGCTTTTTTGTTAGATGTTGGAAAATACAACTGAAATTACTTGTGGGATTATTGATAGATTTAAATTTACCTAGTACCTTTCTTTTAATGTCAGAAAAGAATGAGAAATTAGCTTTAAGTTAAAAAGTTTCTGGCATTTATCAGCCTAACTCTGTGTAGATACATAGTAACAGCTGGTAATATTAGGCCATCAGCACTTGGCCCTAAGGCCTGTGAGACCATAACTCTCCTTTGTGGTGGCTCATCTAACTCTTGAGTGATTGGCCCCGAGTGCACGAGGAACGGCTGAGTTTCTGGGCAGATTGTTGGTGGGACACTTTGTGTTCCATCCAGATACCTGCACTATAGCTGCTTTCAGACTTCATCCATACCTTTCTGTCCAACTTGCAGCATGAATGTGATGCTGTTTTGCAGGCAGAAAGGAACAAAATCACAAAATGTTCAGAGCTTGTCTTTAGAGCAAATCTAAGTCTGGGACTTGGCCCTGTAGCTATTTTTGGACCTAACTAACTGGCCAACACAGTCCTCAGGGACCTGTTCAGAGTTTGCATCATTCAAATCACATTCTTTCTGTTGCTCAGTGAACATTCCCTTGGTGACATCTTGGCCTTTTTCCTTCTTTCTGCAGTGATCCGTGCTGGGACGAAGGCTGCCGAGGGTGTGAGTGCCGCAGATATGGCCAAACGAGAACGGGTGGGTAGATGAGGCACCAAACGAGAACGGGTGGGTAGATGAGGCACCAAACGAGAACGGGTGGGTAGATGAGGCACCAAACGAGAACGGGTGGGTAGATGAGGCACCAGCCTTAAGGTTTTCTCCATGGTTTTGTAAACAGATCAGAGACAACTATTGCTGCTACATTTGCTTACGAAGAGCTATGTATAAAGACCATATTTTTGCCTTGTTGGATGTATACAGGTGAAGGAGAAGTAACTGAACATTAGTCCTAATGCCGTGTCAGTACTCTGTTCCATTGCAGAACTCAGTCTTATTCTCTGTTTCTGTAGTATTCATGTATGGTGAGGACATGCTGCTGATCATGCAGGAGGCGTGGAGGAGGGGCTGTGTGTTTTGTTAGTGTAACTGTAGAACAACAGAAAGGAAGCTCTGTGGGCAGGCTTACTAGGAAAGGGAGGACGTGGGTTTTGGAAAGAGTAGCCAAGATGTCATTTGGGAGGGGTTAGTGTCTCCAAATTACACGTTATTGTAGGACAATTTCATATTATGGGTGTTTCTACTATTAACTGACCCTCTTGCTGCCTAGTGATGCTCTCGGCAGTTGTTACTTTTATACATATTACTCCTTTTGTTTTCCGCAATGGTCTCATTGAATTTCCAATCCTCCTCCCTCTCTACCTCCTGAGTACCAGGATTACAGGCAGGCTGCATCGTGCATTGTGTGCAGTTTACGTGTGCCGAGGATTGAACTGCAGGTGCTGTGTGTGCTGTGCAGGCACTTCACCAGCTTGGCAGCCCAGAGCCATTGGGGCGGCTCAGTGGGTACAGTGCTACTCAACAAGCCTAATGCCCTGAGTTGATCCCTCTACAGTTGTCCTTTGACCCACCCCTACCTCGTGCATAAGTGTGTACACAGGCACATGCGTAATAATAAAACTACAAAACCAGCTTAGAATGGGAGAGATACAGGACAGCTGTGGAACCATAAGGTTCAAGAGGTGCTGAGCAGCAAGTGTACTATAATGATAGGCAGAGGCAATGCCTTTCCGGCATGGTTTTGTAGTAGTGTTCTCAATGTTTTTAAGAGTGGACATCTGGACATTATGGTATTTGGGGAAGTAGTACCATAAGCTTGCTAAATTATTTATGTGCATTATAAAGAGTAAGTTTACTTTCTTTAGGAGGGAAGTACTTAGACTTAGGTGTTGGGTGGCTGAGGACTGAGTATAGACGCTACCTTTAGTATTACTTCTAAGAATACTTGTATTAAGCTGGACAATAGTAGCGCATGCTTTTAATTCCAGCACTTGGGAGACAGAGGCAGGTGAATCTCTGAGTTCAAGGCCAGCCAGGGTTACACAGGGAAGCCCTGTCTTGAAAAATCAATAAAAATAAAATAAACTTTTTAAAAATAAAGAATACTTGTGCTGGGCCACATTTTGAGTTATGCATTTTTTTTAAAAAAATCTAATTTGGCTTCATGTCAGTGTTGAGAGTTAAATATTGATTTGCAGTTTCCTTTTTATAGTTGAAAATTTGAATCTTAAAATTTGGATGGCTTTTTGGTTCCGATCTGATTTGAGCTCATGATCATCTTGCCTCCTTGAGCCTGCCTTTCTCTCTGCTGGGCATTGTAAGGCCACAGGTGCATCCATGGCTGTGGCATGGGGTTATGATTTTTTTTCTTTCGGAGAGCCTGCCTAATGGGTGCATAATATGCTAAGAGTTTGTCTTTTTCTTCTCTCCCAGTTTGAGCTACTGAAACATCAGAAACTCAAGAACCAGAATATCTTTGTCTCCCAGACCAGGCTTTGCCTGCATAATCTGCCAAAGGCTGTGGATGATAAACAACTAAGGAAGCTGCTGCTGGATGCTACTAGAGGAGAGAAGGGTGTGCGCATTAAGGAGGTGAGAGATGCCTTGTCATTCACATCTTGCAGTCATGAGCATTCACTTCCTGCCATGGTGCCAGCATGCTAACAGATTTTCTTTTGGACACATCGGCATGCAAAGTTGAGTTTGGCAGTTTTCTTGTTTTTATTTTTTTTCCTTTGGGGAACTGTCTTTCATGTCTGACTGGATTATAGCAAAATGTAGGGAAATCTCTGTCATGTATTAATTTAGCAGGCGTTCAATGTCTACTGTGTCATCAGCATTATATAGGTGTTGTAATGTGAGTTTTGTTGCAGAGAATACAATTTATGTGGTTTGTTTTCTAAAAGAATGTTGTCTGTCTGTGTGTGCACGCAGGCAGAGGAGGGGAGGGGAGAGGAGAAAAAGGAAGACGGGGAGAGGACATGGGAGCACATGCCAAGGCACATATGTAGATGTTAGAAGGCAGTTTCTTCTCAGTGGGTCTTCACCCTCCGTCTTGTTCTAGATGGGCTCTCTTGTTCACTATGCCCATGCTCACTCTTAGAGCTGCTGTCTCCACAGAGTTTTCTGTCTTTCCATCCCGCCACAGGATCTGAGATTGCAGACACATCATCACGCCTGGCTTTTACAGGGCCCTGGGCACCTGAACTCAGCCCTCATGCTTACATGGCAAGCATGTACTCACTCTGCCTTCTTCTTATTCCCCAAAACAGCGCTTAACTATGTGAGACTTACATAATATCCCACAGACAGCACAGAGGACCAGGCATGTCTTCAGTTGAATTAGAAAACTCTGGGTTCACATGAGTACTTGCTCCAGCTCTGTCTCTTGAGGCCCTTATTGTTTATACTGATGTGAAACTTGGTTTCTCCAGACAGACAGAGCTCTTTGAAACTAAATATTATCTCATTATCCCCAATCTTGGATGTTGTCAATTGGCATAGAGTAGTCTCTTAATCTTTATATTTAAAAATGGCATTGCCAGTATTTTAGGTGTGTGCTTTGCTGTTTCTTAGCTGTAAACTGTATGCCTAGTACTGAAAAGCTTCTTTAAAGTGTCCCCTTGATATTGAGGGAATAACATGAGAGAATGCTGACCAGTGAGAACACGTCTGACAGCACTGTTAGTAATGAGTGCCTGCAGTACTTTGTTTCTGTTAGTAATGAGTACCTGCAGTACTTTGTTTCTGTTAGTAATGAGTACCTGCACTATTTTGCTTGTGCCCATTTAGAATCCATTACAGTTTAGTGCACTTCTGTATATTGTACAATATGAGCATGATTGTGTAATCATTCCCTCCAAGATAAAACCTCCATTTTAGAGGGAAGGTTGGTCCTTAAGCTTGGGAAGTAGACAGCTCAAAGGCTCAGGAAGTCCATGAAATTGACCAGAGACACGAGGCCTCTCGATCCTCAAACATATGTAAGAAGTAAGGACTGTTGACTGGCAGAGGTGCCTAGCTCAGACCAGCCAAACTACTAGACGAGGTAGAGAGCTGGTGAGCTGCCTGGAAGAGGCTACCTGGGAAAGACACTCTAACCTGTTGAGTTGCATGCAGCCTGTGCAGTGTACTGCGGGTGTCCAGCTTGTGAGCTGTCGCCCAGAGACGTTTCTGTTCTCTGTAAATCACCCAGTAACCTCATGGTTCACCAGTCGGACTTTGGTGGTACCCTTGCCTTGGTCTGTCTCTGGTTCCCTATCTTGGGTGAATAGATTTTTGTTCCTGTCTCTCCAGGAATCATGTCTCACAACAGCATTCTATTGATTTTTGTTCTTAATTCTTTTATTTATGTAAGTGCTGTGCCTGTGTGAGATGTCTTGAATGACATTTTAAGTGAATGAGTATCCTGAAGTAAGGAATTCATTCTTCTCTTCATCCTCTGCGGTGGAAAGAGTAATGTCTACACACGCAGTAGGGTATAGTGTGCACGTGTCTTTCGTACCCCCCCACTACAGAAGAACAAGAGCTCTGTGTCCCTCATGACCCTAGGGATCCTGTCCAGGGATTCAGAGAAAACCTGCATGAGAGTTTCTGACTCCACCTCCAGAGCTGAGACTTGCGGTGTTCTTAGACTTACGAGGGTAAAGGGATAGTCTTTCCCATACTGGACATAGCTTTCTCATCTAAAACCATCAGGTCTTCTTTCCCCCCTGCTCTGTTAATTTCTTTTCAGAGGCTTACTTCAGTGCTGGGATCTCTGGAGAGTTCTCCATTGTCAGCAATAACTTGTTCACGTTCTAGAGAGTCATGTACCTCTCAGTTGTATGTGTTCTGAACAAGTATCTATTATAAATTCCCCAGGGTATTGGAGAGATGCAGGTATTGCTCTTGCAGAGGACCTGATTTTGGTCCCCAACATTCATATCTGGTAGCTCACAACTGCTTCCAGTCCAGCTCCAGGGGATCCATTGCCTTCTTCTGGACTCCCATGGGTGCTACATTCAAGTGCACGTGGGCACACATGGCCACACACATGCAAGCTTTAAAAAAATAAAAAAATTTCTCTTTTAATTTCTTATTTGTAACTACTGTCTTTCTTTCTTTCTTTCTTTCTTTTTTTTTTTTTTTCTACTCACAGTGTAGAGTGATGCGGGACCTTAAAGCAGTTCATGGAAAAATGAAGGGTCAGTCCCTGGGCTATGCCTTTGCAGAGTTCCAAAACCATGAGCATGCCCTCAGAGCCCTCCGCCATATCAACAACAACCCAGAAATCTTTGGCTCTCTGAAGGTGAGCCTCATCCTCCAGGGAGACCCCATTTTTTGAGAGTTTAACTGCCCACTATCCCCGATATTTGAAGGGTGTGAAAGAGTACCAAGTGGGCTGGGCGGAGGTGGGGAAAACAGATGGTAACTCTAGGTAAGAAGATGCTTATAAAACGGTAGACCGAGCCGGGCATTGGTGGCGCACGCCTTAATCCCAGCACTTGGGAGGCAAAGACAGGAGAATCTCTGTGAGTTCAAGACCAGCCTGGTCTACAGAGCTAGTTCTAGGACAGGCTCCAAAGCAATTCAGAGAAACCCTGTCTTGAAAAACAAACAAACAAACAAACAAAAAACCCCACATGTAGACATGATGGACTGCTTGAAGAACTGGCATTTAAAGAAGACATGAGAAGCAGCCCCATGTTTACAGAGGGTGGGTGGAAGAACCAAGTAGGCTTATTGCACTCACAGGTTACAAAGTCTTACTAATGACGTTCTATCTCCCTGACAGAGACCCATAGTGGAGTTCTCTTTAGAAGATCGAAGGAAACTTAAAGTAAAGGAGCTGAGGATCCAACGCAGCCTGGTATTGAACCTAAATACCTGATTGGGTTCAGTTTTGTCACTTGTTTATTTTTGTGTGTGTGTGTGTGTGTGTGTGTGTGTGTGAGAGAGAGAGAGAGAGAGAGGGCGGACATGAGCATGCCTACCTTTGTGTGTTTGTGTGTGTGAGAGAGAGAGAGGACATGAGCATGCCTACCTTTGTGTGTGTGTGTGAGAGAGAGAGAGAGAGAGAGAGGGAGAGGACATGAGCATGCCTAACTTTGTGCCTGTGCCATTGCTTCTGAAGGTCAGAAGACGACTCGGGATGTTGATTCTCTCTTTGTACCATGTGTCCTAGAGATTGAACTCAGGCCATCAGGCTTGGTGGCTTGGTTGCTTTTGGTTGTTTATAACAATCTCACTGGGTAGCTCTAGCTAACCCAGAACTCTCAGAGATGCTTCTGCCTCAGCTACTGGGATTAAAGGTGTATGCTGTCATGTCTAGCATGACAAATAAAGCACAAATTTATTTATTTATTTATTTATTTATTTTTTAAAGGGGCTTATTTAAACTTCCTTTTTAAAATTTGTGCTTCTATAAAGTAGGATTTTACTCAGTTTCTCCTAAGACGGTGGTGTTTTCTTCTTTGCTATCCCTCTCCTGAGCTGCACAGGAGAAGGGAAAGGGAGAAAACGCAAACCAAGGTTCCGATCCATCTTGAGTTCTTTATGGTATGTGGGGGCCGTGTCAATCATCATCTGAGACAGGGTCTTCCTTTGTCGTCTAAGCTTGTCTTGAACTCTAAATCCTCCCGTTTCTGCTTGACACCAGGTATTTTTAGATCATTTCAGCTAGTGTGGAGAGAGGAAGAGCAGCTCTGTGCTCTGTTCCTTTCTTAGCTGCATGTTCCCTGGCCAGTTACCTCTCTTCCTTGGACCTCAGTTTGTAAGATGGGTTAACATGGGCCTTCATCCCTCATCTGAGGAGAATTAGATGAGCAGATGCACCATTGCCCAGCTTGTTGTCAGTTCTCTTACCCGTCTTCCCTTGGGACATTCAGGGCTGGGTTATTTTGAGGTCCTTAGTTCTTATAGTACTCATCAATACTACATACAGTTTGTGTGTGTAGAGAGTATTCATAGTGTTTGATGAATACTGAAAGCGTGACAAACAGATAAGTGATAGCAGTGGCCTTCATGGAGAACCTGGGGGTCTCATCCTTGTACATGACAACTTTTTCCCCAGGTAATATAATTGCCTTTAGCCATTGCTTCAGGGGCGTTTCTGAAGCTGGCTGTATTTTCTTTGATTTCTTCATTGCCTGCTTATGTTCATACTGCACTTTCATTATAAAAGTGGTCCTTTCTCCTGACGTATGGGGACATTTCTCACTTTCCTCATTCACAGCAAGTGACCCTTCCACTGAAAGATAAGTCCTCATTGCATAGGCTTTCATCAGCTTCCTTGGTTATTTGTTTGTTTTTTTGTTTTGTTTTTTGTTTTATTTATGTGTGTCTTGTTACTACTGTTCTGTTGTGATCAAAAGCAGCTTAGGAAAGGGAGAGTTTGTTTGAGCTCATGCTTCCAAAGGGTAAGAGCCCATCATGGCAGGGAGGTCTAGCAACAAGCGACAGGCAGGGTGAAACAAATGCAACACATCTTTACATAGTTTAACAGATGCAGCACAAACAAATGCACCACATCTTTACATAGTTAAACAGATACAGCACAAATGCAACACATCTTTACATAGTTAAACAGATGCAGCACAGACAAATGTGTGTCTTTGCCTAGTTAAAATAGTATTCTACAGCACCAAAATGCTCCACCACCTGGGGACCAAGCATTCAAACACTTGAGTCTGTGGGGGACATTTTCATTCACACCCACCACTGTCTTTTATTTCCACTAGTCTAGGAATCCCAAAGGTAAACATTTTATTGTTTGTAACTGTATCTTACCACTTACAAACAGACTGGAGCATAGTAGGCATTTGACGCTCTAGCATCTCCTTCCTTCCTTCCTCCATCTCCGACATTTTTACCTCCTTCATGTTGACCTGGGTTTTCAGTCTATGCCATTTCCCTTCTCTGGAGGAATTTGTTTAGCATTTCTTTCAAAGTAGATTTCCTGGCAACTGTTGTTTTTGTTTATTTTTAACTGAGTCAGTCATTCACTTTTGTAAAAGATAATTTCTTTACATACAGAATCTAGACTGGTAATTTTGTCTTTTGGAACTTCAACCACCTCATGCTATCTTCTTTTTCCTGTACATGGTTTACTGCAATGTGACTGATAAATCTAGTTGTGGAGCTTGGGGTGTCTGTTGTTTTTCTGTCAGCTCTTAGATCTCTGGCTTAATGTCTATCACTGTCTTGAAAATTTCCTAGCTGTATTATGTTAAGTAGTCCTCCATTGCTTTGTTTCTGCTGCTGGTGTTCCCCTTGTTCATGTGTTACATTGTGTGTGTGTGTGTGTGTGTGTGTGTGTGTTGGGGGCAAGGGGCAGGTGTTTTTTAAAACAGGATCTCAAATAGCCCAGATCCATTCCCTTCCTTCCCAGTGACTAGGATTCCAGGTGTGGGCTGTCATGCCTGGCCCAGGTTTTACCTTTGACAATTGTTCCTTCCTACTGGCTTTTCAATGTTGGGCTACTGCTCTCTGTTTCTGGGTTTTGTTTTTGTTGAGTTTGTTTTGAGAGAGAGATAGATAGAGAGAGAGAGAGAGTATACGTGTGCGTGTGCCCTCTCTAGTAGCTATTTATTACTAGGCAGTGGCTGTAAACTGCTCGTATGCACTTTGCTGAAGTCTCCAGCTATGTGGAAAAAGAGTTCCTCTTTCAGCACACTCAATAGCAGGCTCAACACTCTGCTGAGTGTTCCAGCAAGTAACCTCATCCAGAAACCAGGTGGCAATTTCTTGTTTTCTGCAGCAAAAAACAGCACCCAAGCCTGTAACTAGTAAGCCCCAAAAGGAGCAAAAAGAACTTGGAAAAGACAAGAAACAGAAAGCAGTGAGCCCTACACAGAATCAAAGTCAGGCTTCTGGGGAGCAGAAAGGGAAGGCCCGCCCCACCTCGTGGACAGGGTTCCAGACCAAGGCTGAAGTGGAGCATGTGGAGCTGCCTGATGGGAAGAAGAGAAGAAAGGTCCTGGCACTCCCTTCACACCGAGGCCCTAAAATTAGGTGAGATGCAGGAGGCCATTAGAAGAGGGTGCTTCTAAGTGCATTTGTTTTGATGCAGCATTTGTTTGGGTAGAGGGTGTTGGTGGTGTGCTGGTTCCTCCATGGGAAGTTAACAGAAAGGTCTCAGCCCCAGCAGAAATGTTGCCTTGGATCAGATGGTACAGGAAACCTCGGAGGAACCATCAGGGCAGACTGCATACCATTCTTGTCCTTTCAGAGCTTTTCCTGTCAGCTGAAGCTCACTTATTCTTTCTGTTTGGGATCATAGATTAGTGCTATGTACAGTCAGTGCTGTGACAGTACATAATGTATTTCTACCCCCCCCCCCAAAAAAAGCAATCTTGGTAAGTAACTGAAGGTTTTTTATTTCCATTGAAGTCTTAGCAAAAATAAGTGGAGACAAACAAATGAATATATAACTATTGTGACTTAGGATATGCTGTATAGACTCCATTTAAGAGTGACTAAGCCAGGTGATCGTGGTGCATGCCTTTAATCCCAGCACTTGGGCATCAGAGGCAGGTGAATCTTTAAATAGGAGACCAGCCTGATCTAAAGAGCAAGTTGTAGGATAGTCAGGACCACAAAGAGAAACCTATCTTGAAAAAAAAGAAACAGCTATGTAGAAAAAAAAATTTTGTCTCACGCTCTTTAAAAGATGCTGAGGATGGGACTGGAGAGATGGCTCAGCACTTAAGAGCATTGGCTGCTCTTCCAGAGGACCCAGGTTCAATTCCCAGCAGCCACATGACAGCTCACCAATGGCTGTAACAACAGTTCTGGGACACCCAACATCCATGGCAAAATACCAATGTACATAAAATAAAATAAATAAGTAAAAAAGAGAGAGAGCGATGCCAAGGATACTAACCAGAGAAAGAATTAATGCAGCATCTACCCGGCTGTCCTATTTCAGGTTACGGGACAAAGGCAAAGCGAAGTCCCTTCCTCCTAAGAAGTCAAAGCCCCAGATAGGCCAGCAGAAGCAGAAGAAGCAACAATTACCTTCTGTGCAGGTGAGTTCTGTGGGGCTTGTGGTTTGGGTGCTGTGGCTCTGTGGAGCTGAGCAGAAGGTCAACTTTCTGGGTAGCTGGGTAGAAAGTAAGGCTTCTCCATTCGGGGCTGCAGCTCTGCAGAGGGTGAGGTTCAGTAGTAAAAGTGGAGAGGAAAGTAAGCCTTTATGATGTGTCATTCTACTTGAGCAGTTATCTTGTGTTTCCTGTTTTCTGTACTGCTTTCCCCTAGTATGGAAGCAAATCCTACTAGTAAATGTGTCTCAATAGATTGCTCAGAAAAACTTTAGACTACATTTCTGATGGCCAACTCTTCACACAAACACATGTCATTGTCAAAGCTACTGAGATTAATCAGAAGCTCCTTATACTCTCTAATATATAGCCCCTATTAAAAATTTCCTAATTGTCTCAATAATGTTCTTTATTTTTGATTAGTACCTGTTAGGATGCTAACAAAGTCCACACATTACATTTGCATTATTCATCCCTCCTTCCCTTTCTTTCTCCATCCTATGGTACTTGTCCTTTCTTACCACATTCTTTTCCCCCTATGTTGTTAATTTGTTGGATTAACAGTCATTTGTCCTTGAGGATGTATTTTATGTTGAATTCAGCCACTTACTTATACACTATCATGTAACTTGTACCCGTGGAACCTTGTATTGACTGTCAGCTGGTAGAATGGTCTAGAGGTGTAACCAGATTTAGTTTGGTTGTTCACTGTTAGTAATGCCAAGAACAGTCAGGAGGTGTCAAAATTGTTCACTTTATTGTTCGATTTAGAAAATCCCCTCCCAGCTTCTCAGTTTTTAGTTGTTTGCCTTTTCAGTGCTTGGGATCTAACCCAAGGCTGTTGGCAGAGTTTCTGTTCCGCCTGCTCTGCTGCCGTTAGCCCCAGATAAATACAGAGGCTTATATTTATTATAAACCGTTTGGCCAATGGCTTAGGCTTCTTAATGGCTAGCTGTCAATTATTAACCCATAAATATTAATCTGTGTATTTCTACATGGCATTATCTTACTGGAGAATGCTCAGCATCCCATCTTCTCAGTAGCTACATGGTGTCTCTGGTAGCTTCTCTCTGCCTTTCTCTTCCCAGCATTCTCCGTGTCTGGTAGACCCACTTATGCTTCCTGCCTGGCTACTGGCCAATCAGTGTTTTACTAAACCAATAAGAGAAGCACATTCACAGCACACAGGCAGGATGTGTCATGCTTAGGAAGTGCTCTGCTGTTGACCTATGTCCCTAGCTGCTCCTCTTTAACTTTTAAAAACAATGGATTACCATGTACACCTGTGATTTCATTCTGGGTTATAGAATGGTGATTTTCCAATTCACACAGCCCCTTTGTACTTAAAAATAGAGTTCTAAGACGTGTAGGAAGGAGAATCTTACATACAGGAAAGACAAGGTTAGATGACTTTTTTCTTTCCCCCTTCTTGCTCTGTGAGTTTCAGAGTTGTGAACTATTGCCAACCAACCTGCTATGTGGCCTGTGAGTCTGATAGATATATACGTGTGTGTGTGTGTGTGTGTGTGTATTATGAAATCCCGGATTTTTCCTATAACTCTGTGTTTCAATCAGATGTGGTCATCATTCTTGTCCTCTAACAGAAGCATCTTTGGATCAGCTCCCTGTCCTTCTGAAATGACCTTGTCTGTCTTTGGTAGTGTTGCTTTCTTGTACAAGATGTTCTAGGCCCATCTTAGTGGTTTCTTTCCCAGTTTCTGGCAATAGCCCTTTTCCCAAGGAGCTCTAGTTCTTTTTAATAGAAAATATTGGTCCTGCGATCCCTATTTTTACTTTTTTCAAATAAAGACATTCTTTTATGTGTATGGGTCTCTTGCCTGCATGTATGTCTCTGTACTACAGACGTGGGTGGTGTCCATAAAGACCAGGAGAGGGCATTGAATCCCCTGGGTCTGGAGTTAACAGGTGTTTTATGATGCATTGTGGATACTGGAAATAGAGCCTGAATCCTCTGGGAGGGCAGCCAGTGCCTTTAACCCCTGAGCTATCTCTCTAGCTCTAGTCCTGGGTGCCTGTACATGTGAGGTGAAGATTTACCTCCCTTCCCTTTAAGAGTAGGAGAGTCACTAGCATCCTGTCCTGCTCAAATCTGTCTCTGAGAAATTTCTGACCACATCATATTATATTACAGAGATCTAGTCTCTGAAATTTTTAAGTGAAATTCTTGGGGCAAGGGCAAACAGCGATGTGCAAATCGGGTTCCTCTCTGGAAATCGTTTTCCTAATGTACCAGCTTGCATTCTGTTTGGGATGTCTTGACAGGTGATATTTAGTGTTTGACATTAACTGGGCATGGGTGGCATTTGGAAGGAGGAGAGATGATGGTCAGGAGTCCTTAAGTACATAGTGAGTTTCGGGTCTGTAGAAAAGAAGGCAGACAGACAAGTAGAAAGCAAGAAAGCAAAGGGAGGGAGGGAAAGGAAGAAAAAGGAAAAGAATGATTGTTTTATGTCTACTTTCTCTCACAGGCACCTAAGAAAAAAGCTAAGGAAAATAAGGCAGAAGCCCACTTCAACCAACTGGTTGAACAGTACAAGCAGAAGTTGTTGGGCCCTTCTAAAGGACCATCTCTTATGAAGAGAAGCAAGTGGTTTGATACTTGATGCCCCTGCCGAAAGCCTTGTCTTTCGTAGATGGAAAGAGCATCCTGATGGTACCCCATTCGTGGGGACTCTGTAGGGTGTGAGGGTGTGTTCATTCTTGGTCCCTTCTCCAGCATGGGAGGAAGACATACCTGAAAGCTCACTGGAGTTTTTACATCTTACCCATATTACTGCTGAAGCTGTGCTTGTAATTGTAATTCATTTCTATTTTCTTCTTCGATAGAAACTATTGTAAAAAAATGTTTTGAAGTACTGAATTTTTAGATGCATATTTTATTATGGAATCTGTAAATGAGGAATTGTTTGTGACTTTTGGATGTGTCTCATTTTTAATATACATAAATACATTATTTATGAGTTTTTTCTCTAAATGAACATTTTTTTAAACATTTTTAATTCAATTCCATAGTTTGCAAGAGCTAAGAACAGAGGAAAATGTTTACTAACGTGGTCTCTGAATGTGGTAGACATTTGACTTGCAACTGAAGGTCCTGGGCCTGGTACCAAGCAGCACTTAAGTGTCCGCCCCTGAAGGGGTAATACTGGCTGGAAATCAGATTGCAGTGACCAGACATTACCTGACCAAGGTTGACCCAAGTGTATCCCACGGAACACTGTGTCCCGGGGCCTGAGAGCTCATGGATGATGTGGGAAAAGCAGTGAGTGTGAGGCTTAGGCTCTACCTACCCTAAGTGCCGAGGAGGTGGCAGAGTCTCAGTTTAGTCATCCTAAATAAGGGATTGAACTAAATGTTCTCCAGGCTGTCCCTGCCCTACATACTCCTTAAGCGCTCTTTACCCATACTTTCCTTCTCTTTTCTAAAGGGAACTGGGGTGGAGGGTATGGATATTAGAGAGTCTTTCCTTCTCTTTTCTAAAGGGAACTGGGGTGGAGGGTATGGATATTAGAGAGTCTTTCCTTCTCTTTTCTAAAGGGAACTGGGGTGGAGGGTATGGATATTAGAGAGTCTTTCCTTCTCTTTTCTAAAGGGAACTGGGGTGGAGGGTATGGATATTAGAGAGTCTTTCCTTCTCTTTTCTAAAGGGAACTGGGGTGGAGGGTATGGATATTAGAGAGTCTTTCCTTCTCTTTTCTAAAGGGAACTGGGGTGGAGGGTATGGGCATTAGAGAGTCAAGGTCCACATGGATGCTGGGGGTACGAAGATGAAATACAGTGGGGCAAACCAGTCCCTGGGCTGCACAGCTCTGATACAGTTGTGGCGCAGAGGCCCTCATGTCTGTCCCCTTGGCCTGGAGAACATTTCCTTAGGCTCTATCGTCTCAGATCTCCACTGAGCTCTCGGCTCTCCTGGTGTTGTCCTGAGTATCTAAGGTAGGCTGTTCTTCCCTGCCCCAACCTACATCTAGCTGAATCCTTTCTCTTACCCTGTTTGTTTTCTGCTGCACTGATTGTCTAAGTCATCTCCCCTGTTAAATTGTCTGCTCTGAGGAGACTGTCTTGTTCACCTCTACTCGGATGGCACTCTGGTGAATAGTGGGCATGGAATAAATATGTATTGAATGAAAAGAAAGGAAAAAGAACACTAGTGCTTTGTATACAAGGAAATGCTGAGGGCATAGCTCAGCTTGCTGATTGCCTGGCCTAATGCAGTGTCTTAAAGGACCCTTTCCCAGACCCATCGCTGAGTCACAGAGCTATTTCATGGCAGTGCTTGGGAAAACCAGTTGTTACTCCTGAATGCCCTTAGTGGGTTTGGAGCTGGTGAAGGGGAAATGATGAAAACGTTTAGACCCTTTGGAGGTATCCAAGGACAGGTGCTGCCTTTAGGGTCAGTTCGAGGCAGAGTGATGGGAATTTTGAACATTCTTGCATCTGTCCAAGAGATGGGGTAGAAAGAACCTTATGGAGAGTGTCCGAATGGCCACAACCTGCCAGCCAGTTGGTCTGTTTCCCTTGGCTGTCTCTGTCGGCTTGCCAGACACTTTTCCTCCAGTACACATATACCCTTAATATTTGAAAATGTCTCTTAGCATTTAAGATTACAAAAAAAAAAATTGCTGTTCTTTCTGAGAGTGTTGCCAGATTCTCCTAGATCCAGATATTTCTCTAACATCTTTAGCAACCCTGTGTGTTAAAACATGAGTCAGTTGCTTGGAAAATTATTGCACAGTTCTTTAAGGAGTGATATGAGGACGCATTACATTACCCTGTTTCTCAATGAGCAGACTCCATATATGGCGTCTTCCTTTGAGCCACCTTCCCATGGGTTCCTCAGTCAGCTCCTTGTCCCCTTGCCACGGGAGTGCTAATGCGGGGGGGGGGGGGGCTTGTGCTTCTGCTCTGCCTTCTAGTGGGGTGTTTCAGGAAATGGGGTTTCTCAGTTAATATGAGGGTTGCGTCCCATGTTGCTTGGTTATTAAGGGTAACAGCTGAGGCTAAAGGCCATAGTGAGAATGACCAAGTTTCATGTAACTTCTTACTTGATTATATGCACTAGGTTGGCTCAGAGAAAAACCTCTAAGGAGAGAACCGTAAGCGGGATGCAGCTTTTTCTCTGCCTTGTTTTTTCTTGGCTAGATGGCAGTTTTGAAGTTGCTTCTCTGGAGTCAGCCTGTGGTAGAGAATATGCCCCAGCTACCGTAGAAACAAGAATCATGGGTTCCTCTGTTAGAACCCTAGAGCTTGTGATTCCTTGAAAGACAGTCACATGCCTCTGAACAAAGGGGCTCGTCAGTCCATGTTGTCACTTGAATGTACATCACAAAGCATGCTTAGACAAACCAGGACCAGTGCCATGGGTGGTCCTTCATTGACTGAAATGTTAAGTGACACACAGCTATGTCTTTTTTGTTGTTGTTGTTGTTTATTTTTTGAGACAGGTTTCTCTGTGTAACAGCTCTGACTGGCCTGGAACTCGCTCTGTAGGCCAGGCTGGTCTGGAACTCAGATCCGCCTGCCTCTGCTTCCCAAGTGCTGGGATTAAAGGTATGTGCCATGACCTCCCGACTGATTTTGTTTTGAAAAGAAGTTTTTCCAACTATAATTCAGAGCCCAGAACCTCAAGGCTCCAAAGAGCTTCTTATCCATTTGGCTTGCACTTGTCTGAGGAGGCCGATGGCCAAATGTGCCACAGTGAGTGCTGACACTGTGTCACCTTAGGGAATGCAAATCTGCCTTCTCAGCTCTCCAGCTGCCCTACTTAACCAGCTCTCTCCTTAATATTGTTTCACCTCACTGTGACATGAGTGACAAGCGCCTGTCAATTCTGTCATTCGGGGAGCAAGTCTGCTGATGCAACCTGGGACATTCCTTCCCTTCTTCGAAGATTTCTCTTTCATGGCTGAATCCACATTGTCACAGGTCTGCAAGATGCTGAGACAGTTTGTATTTTAGTTGTTCTCAGCTCCTGCTCTCCACTCACCTCTAACTGGCTTGTTAAGAGCCAGGGTGGGATTTCTCTTGAGCCAAACAGACTTCCAGATTCCTCATTGACTAGTTAGAGGTAATTAATGCACACAGACTACCTTTCTTTTGTTTCCCACTCGTTTCCAGGGTCTTTTGCGGAGCCTGGATGGGGTGTTACTGGGCAGTCCACTTTGGAGTGGTATTAAGACATGGTCTACAGTTAACTTCGTTTCTGATTCTGAACTGGTGATTGGCTACAGACTGATGCTGCTTCCAAGCTGATGAAGGAATATGCTGGGAAGGCTGTTGGACACTTCCTGGGGGAAACTGCAGAGTGGCCAAAAAGACCTTTTGGTCCGTCCCAACTGTGTCTTGATAAACACCAAATCTGCAGTGTGCAGTGTGCTGCCCAGAGCTCACTCCCTTTTATCAGTAGTGAGCCTTCACCGCTGCAGAGCCTTCTCAAACTCACTAGACACTGATCAGGACATCATCTTTGTCCTTGAAAGCAAGGGTTACATTTTACACTCTCCTACAAACACTGACACCCAACGCTGATTTAGCCATAGTAAGAGCTTCTGTGATCTGTGAGCTCTCTAGAGGTCTATCGTTCCAAGGCATAGCTGGACTTGTGAAGAGCAGTGGGATCATTTCCTAAGGTGATGTAAGTAGAAGAGCGCTGAGTAATAGTGAATGACAGTGGTATACTGCCCGCAGTTTGGATAGACTCCTGTATCCGTTCTGCTATGATTTGTCTGTAGCAATCTTCCTCACCAATACCACTCATCATTCTAGTTCAGGCTCAAGGTTCCCCTCAGGGACCTCAACTATCCCAGGCATAAAGGTCAGTCGCTCAGAGTCACTGGCATACTGGTTGGCCTGTCACTCAACAGCATATGCTACTGGGGCTTGCTGGTCTTTTCGTTGGGTTTTGTTGTTCCCTGAAAGCTCACCTGGCACGTAGCTGTCCTTAGTGCTAGGTTACTAAGGATGGTTACTGAACTGTTGCAGTGATCTTTTACACACATACACAAGCATACCACACACACTTATATATACTCTATGTTGTATGTATCTTCTCTATAGCCTCATTCCGCTCCTATTGGTTACTTTTAAAATGTTATTTCCTTCTCCCCTGCACTGCAACGACTCCTTCAATCTGTCTGAAGTATCCATCCTATTCCTTTCTGTCTCCCTGCCACCCAAAGGGATGCCAGCCCTTAAGTGCAGGGCCGGATGGTGAGGGCCGAACGCAGGCAACTCAGTGCCACGTAACTGTCAAGCGTCTCTTCTCCCAGCCAGTCCCCCAGCTCTCCCTTTGTCCTTTTCCTCTCCCTTGGGCCTGTTAGACATGTGCCTTATACTTAAGTCATGAGAGACTCAAAAGCCATGCTTTGGATGCTACCACAGGACACACGCTGTCTTTGTGTTGCAGCCCTAGCATGTGGCACCTCAGATGGACTGAGGTCTGGGCCAGTGTGAGTTTTACAAAGGATGGGATTAAGGTGTCCCCCTAATAAGACGTGAGTGCAAACACTGGCCAGAGGTTGCCTGGCCCTCCAAGCATTGCATCTTAGCATCAGGGCTCTTGTAGGGAGCCGTCCCTGCATTCTCCATTACAAGATGGTGCCTGCATCCGGCTGGCGTTGAGAGTAAACAAGTCAGTGCGCAGGTGCAGGGTGATTTTCCCTCCCTTGGCCTCTGCCTCTCCCGTGGCTGTCATATGGGCCCATGGGCTGCAGCCAATCAGGAGGCGACACGTCCGAGGCGAAGGTTGTAAACCTATATAAGGGTTGGGTTTTGGATGTTTGGTGTCTCCGCTCTGTAAGCTTATGCTCTCCCTCTCAAGATGCATTAAAACTTTACTGCAGAAGGATCCTGAGTGTGCCGCGTCGTTCTTGCTGGCGAGACGGTAGCGAGGGACAGGCTCTGTGGAT